TCGATACCTCTGTCGCATCCCAGCTATTTAATGGCAGTGACGTCATAAAAAACAAATGTCCATCCTTTTTTATCAAAGGACAAACCCTCACGATCAGATTTTAGCTTACTCTTTTCGGAACGGACGCAAATATATTTTCGTATTGATATATATTGAAAACATTTTTTGAAAGAAAAAAAAACTACTTTTCTATAGATATCTGTCTAAATTACGATTAAACAATATGTATGAACATTTTATTATTAGAACTTGTATTATTTGATTATTATTTATTAGAACAGTAATTTCTTTCAAAGCAAATTTAAAAGTATATCTTCTGTATATACAAATAAAATTCGAAAATATCAATTTTAACTATTCCGTGCTGTAATTGTGCATTGCAATTGTAATTTATAATAATTTAATATATGTATTTCATTGTTTTTATTGTTGTTTTTATTGTGGTTGTTGTTATTCTAAGCTCAGATAATGATTGGTCGGTCTAATGCTGGGGTGCACGTCCCTCCGCAGGTGCCGGCGGAAGATCAGCGCTCCAGTACCGATTGTCTCTGTACTGTTAGGGATTGCTGAGCCGGTAACCCTTTCCAAGCCTCGTTATTTTTCTTTTTTTTTAAAGTTTATGTTTGGAATAAATGTTTATCATTGCGGCTTGGCTATACCCGTGTCACACCAAACATACGGTAACTACTAAACAAACGTTAAAATACGAATCAACTCCACTACTTCGGAAACTTATTAAACAAATAAAATCATGTTCACTGTCATGTCACAACACGCCCACGTAATGGCATCGCCAATAACAAACGGTAATGTTCCCTGCTCCATTATATTCAGATGAGGCGCACTATAGTCGGATCGGTTTATTTGAGACTTGCAACAGACTCGAATGTCCCTTGGAATCAAGTGCACTAAAACATTGTGATGTACCAATGCTTTGTAATCAAGTGCTTGGTGAAGATTGCGGTTCGTGAACTTTTCGTTGAACGTAGGGTACGTATCGAGCGATTTGGTTCGATGGGATAACTTCTTTTAAAGTAATTGAAATTTGAATCTGAGTTGTCGACGTGAGGGGGGAATTTTCACGTTGTTGCATGCTTCGGTATTCTTTTATTTATTTATTTATTTAAGGATTACCAACAGGGTTTACAGTAAGACATAAAATAACATTGACATGTATAGAGCAATTGATAACTGCAACTCTAATTAGAGGCAATCACAGCATGTATTACATTAATATTTCAACAAAGATTTAACAATACTAATAATAATAATAAAAAAAAAATCCCAAGGACAGTAATACCCGAGTACTCAGACCAAGGCTGAGGTTCAACAGCAACTTTTTATAATTTTGTTCCTGAATATTGGAAGGGAATCGCCAAATATGTCAAGGTTTTCAGCTTTACTGACTAGATTATTATAAACGTTAGGTAGACGAGGAGCAGGTGAGTGCTTGCCTAGATTGGTTCTAAAAACTAGCGAATAAATAAGTCTTAATGTACATGATGTAAATGCTTACCTCCTGATTAATGTATCTAGGAATACTGCTGTAAGCTATTATTTATGAATTTGAAAAGCTAACCTCCCGTGACTCTCACACCTGATTTGATATACGCCCGTGCGGTCATCTCCGTAGACCTCTCGGTGATTTGTTGCCTTGAATACCTTGAATAATGATGTTAACAACCTGAAAATTTGCAAGTCGATATATTCTGTATCTGTATCTTTTAAATTAATTAATCAGCAATTTTTTTTATTATTTATATTCCTCCTGCACCCCGTGTCGCCATTTTGAGACTCCATTCGAAATTGAAATACTAAGAAATTAAATAAATAATAATAAATAAATATTTACTAACAATCACGCCACGTTAACTGCTCCCGTGCTAAGTTCATAAAGAACTGGTGTTATAGGTACCAGATAAAGAAAATAAATGTAAGATTTTTATTATACATCATTATCATCATCATGATCTCAGCCTGTGCATTGTCCACTGCTGAACATAGGCCTCTCCAAGTGATCTCCAGTGCGGCCGGTCCGTTGCCACCTGCATCCAACGTGACCCAGCGGTTCTTACCTGGTCGTCGGTCCATCTCGTAGGTGGCCGTCACACACATACATATAATTAATATACATGCATAACCCTGTAAAAGACATTTTATATTTATCATACCAAATATCTTCCCTTGGCGGGATTCGAACCCGCGACCCCCTTGTGTAGTGACCATGTCACTTACCACTATACCAGACGGCTGTTAAAAGTATTAAATTGAAGTAGCGATGGAAACTTTATAAAACAGTCTTCGAGTAATTGAAGCATAAGTTCGTGTCCATTAGTGGGTCACCAACTAATGGAATTCGTATTCTCACTTTGTACATGTATTTCTGATATATTTCTAATGTGAATGGTTGTTACCATGAAATTATACGTAAGTTTATCACGTGTGAAGGTACAATCATGTTCCATTTGGAGTTAATTATTTTTTTTATAAACGAACAGCATAACAATTACTTAGTATAGCTATTACTGCATTGATAAGTGAGTACAGTAGATTGGGGGAAATAGAGACGAGTTAGAATAGGGACAAATCTGGGATGTCACAATACTTTTGTTGAGTTGTTAGATTTAACTTTGTTGAACTGAAAATGACTTTTATTTAGTGTTTAAGAATATTAAATAGTTTAATTTAGTCATCAAAGTTTTGTAACTCATTAAAGGTATTAAAAAGTTAATTACCTAAAGTTAGGTACTTACCTAACAACTAAATAGTGCCAGCCCTATCGAAAAATTATTATCCCCATACGTAACCTGATTCATCCCAAAGCCAAGGTGAATCGGGTCAAGCTAGTTTTTAAAATTTTTGTGTATATCTTGTAATGAACTATGTATGATAACGCATCGTATATATAAAAATTTAACCCTCCCGAACCATTTTAAACTCAATTTTATTGGTATGTATTACCCTAAGAAAAACAATTGAAAATTTGTGTTGGATTTGGAAAGGGTCTCGATTCCCCCCAATCTACGGTACATAAACTGTAAATTCCTTCATAGTTTATTCAGAACGAACCGTATTAAATATTCTCGATAAAGTTAGTGAAAGTTACACTGTAACTACGTAACAAGTCCATTCTTGAAATAAAACTCGGGTTTCAGTCGAAACAGATGGTCAATCCCATGCAACTTCGGCCACGCGACGATCTTGTTTTGTACTACAGTACAAAAGTTTGGCCCGCCATTACGAACTTTCCTATGTAAATTTTAATCGAGTCGAGTTATTGAACTCGTATAAAAAATGTAACGATATTCGGTCACGATTAACTCCGCAATTAAATTACTTTTACAGAACAAGATGAACGGTCGCAAAAAAAACACGAACCGGTCCCGCGAAATGTTTTGTCATCGGTACGAACATCTCGATTAGTATTTCGGGCAAACAACATGATTCAATGCCATTAGACGAAGGCGAAATCCATAGAGCAAAACGTTTGCCAACAAATCCTGATGTTACATCGCTAACAACTTCTTGTTAGCACCTATTGAGACTTCTTACGTCATATTGTAGATCGCCGAGAGCTCTGACCCGCCAACGAACGTGATCTAATGAGTTCTTTACAACGCCATTCTAAATGGGAATGTACGCATTCGTAAATCGATTTTAATGAACTCCTTTTACAATGCAAAAAAGGTCGTATCCGATCTATTTTCATATATTCTAGTGCTAGAAATAAATCGCGCGAATGTGGAACTTATTGCTATCGTACAAGGAAACAAACGAACTGGATATTTTAAATGTATCACAGCGAATGCTTGTCTAATGAATATATTTTTATTAAAATACGTCTAAATACAAAATAGAAATGTTTTTTAGAGCCACCCAAAAAAAAATGCGTATTCAGATTCACTGTTGAAATATTGCAATCCATTCGCATAACACAGAAGAGTAATTCCAATCAGACATAGTGTTTCGTGCTTTCATTTACACGCAGTCCCTTAAACAGGCGACGATTACCCATGCGCTGTTTATTGTTTCGCGACGTTTGGCATGTGCGGCGCGTCCCAACGTGTCGCATCGGGCATACATACAATGGACGTATTTGAAGCACGTGCTGCGGTCGTATTGATCGTCAACTGGCCATCGGGTGACTTCGTCTCGATTAACATAAGCGCGAGCGCACGGCCGATCTTTATCAATTTGTCCTTACTTCACCACTAGAGCTGGTCTGTCCGCATTGTTCTGTCCTTCCAGCCGTCACTCACCAGTCAACGCTAGCTTTACTTCACAATGCGACCGCCATTTCTTTGTTTGTTTAATGAGTGAGACCTGGTTCGATTAAATCTAGATAATTGCTTCGTCAAGGTCTTCAAGGCGGCGACGTCGACATGTAGACAAGCGGCCATGATGGTTCCTTTTGATCCGCGTAATGAGACGGCGCAAGCGCTTCTTGTCGGCATAAATCTGTGATAATGGTGTGGATCGTGAGAAAGTACAGTCGTGCTAAGTTCGTTTACGTAATAAAGTGGATACGTTCAAATGAGTCGTGGTTCGTGGTCCGGAATCCGCGCGCCCTATGATGATGTTCGATTTCCTTATTATTAGATTGTTTCAACAGAGCCTGCTGTTAGGTCTGCAAGCTGTTTATGGTCTAAACGGCAACCTGTTATGATCGGTGAATCGGTGAAAGCAAACGCTTATCTTTTTCCCGCCCATCTATTTTCACGCTAAACGATTGCACACGATTACCTCGAGGCACCTAATGTACCCATATAAACACCTAATGTACTAAACTTATCATTGATTTTGTACTTACCCACAAGAACGCCATGGTTTCTATCAGAAAGCACTCTGAATTCATCAGGCAACGGGATGCGCAAGTGACGAGGCGTTAACACCCACTAATTGGCTACTGTTATTCGCATGTCAAGGAATATGGTTAACGAGAGCTGCGTTAGTGTTAAGAGACACGGCCCGATACATAATGAATACTTTATCTGTTGCAGGCATCTTCACGGTGATGTGCTATAACGTGTTGTGCGACAAGTACGCGACAAGACAGATGTACGGCTACTGTCCGAGTTGGGCGCTCGAGTGGGACTACAGGAAGAAGGGTATTTTAGACGAAATTAGGCATTACTCAGCAGACCTTATTAGTTTACAGGTTGGTTAACTTTGTTAATCAAATACTCTTTTATTATTATTTTTTTGTTGCTATTACCCTGATCGGAATATGGACGACCTGGGAAAGTGGTTACCGAAGCCCCGTAGATGTAACGTGAACGTTGCCAGGTATTGGGCCGAAGCCTCAATTGTGTTGTCCAATGGATTTTCGTCGATGGTGTTTACGCGTGCGGGTTTATAAACCGCCCTACCAGTAATGCTTATCGACTAGATTAATACTCAAAGAACGTTCCTAACTATTCTCCGGTAAACATCCCAGACTTTTAAAAACGTCATCGATAGGATGATGCATGGAAGACCGAAACCATAGACAGAAAAAAGTGAAACGCTTCACTATTTTGCGTGTCATCCATGCTTCGGGGTTTCTAATTCTTCTGTGTAACACTTTTACACACTATCAGACTGTTACTTATGTAAATCATAATTATCTGATTCCATCTAATTGTAATTGATAAAAAGCTTTAGATAATAAGTGGTAGTTACCCTGTAGCCGAAGAATCGAATGGCCATTAACCTAATTTTTTATTGCTTAGATGGGTAGACGAGCTCACAGCCCACCTGGTGTTAAGTGTTTTCTGGAGCCCATAGACATCTCGTAAATGCGCCACCCACCTTGACATATCAGTTCTCAGGTCTCAGTATAGTTACAACGGCTGCCTTATTATTTTTTTGTTGCTATTACCCTGATCGGAATATGGACGACCTGGGAAAGTGGTTACCGAAGCCCCGTAGATGTAACGTGAACGTTGCCAGGTATTGGGCCGAAGCCTCAATTGTGTTGTCCAATGGATTTTCGTCGATGGTGTTTACGCGTGCGGGTTTATAAACCGCCCTACCAGTAATGCTTATCGACTAGATTAATACTCAAAGAACGTTCCTAACTATTCTCCGGTAAACATCCCAGACTTTTAAAAACGTCATCGATAGGATGATGCATGGAAGACCGAAACCATAGACAGAAAAAAGTGAAACGCTTCACTATTTTGCGTGTCATCCATGCTTCGGGGTTTCTAATTCTTCTGTGTAACACTTTTACACACTATCAGACTGTTACTTATGTAAATCATAATTATCTGATTCCATCTAATTGTAATTGATAAAAAGCTTTAGATAATAAGTGGTAGTTACCCTGTAGCCGAAGAATCGAATGGCCATTAACCTAATTTTTTATTGCTTAGATGGGTAGACGAGCTCACAGCCCACCTGGTGTTAAGTGTTTTCTGGAGCCCATAGACATCTCGTAAATGCGCCACCCACCTTGACATATCAGTTCTCAGGTCTCAGTATAGTTACAACGGCTGCCCACCCTTCAAACAGAAACGCATTACTGCTTCAGGGCAAAAATAGGCAGGGTGGTGGTACCTACCCGTGCGGACTCACAAGAGGTCCTACCACCAGTAATTATCGACAACTTCTACCGTAAGCATTTATTTGAAGTCGTCGTGGTCTAAACAATAAGCGATGCAATAGTCTATGCTATACTCATATCGAGCAATGCGATCCCATCGGTGTTCACACCTCGTAAACAGATACCAATTTAACCTATAATACCCAACTCATGTTCATATACGAGTTCCACGATATAAAAATAGCATCGTGTAAGATAAATCATACCCGTAAAAGTATTAGTTTGCGTAGTAACTACAATTGAGTCATAGAACTCAAGCCTCAAGTTTCAAAATGGATCGCGTTAACGTTGTGATATCTATTGACTCAGGTGACCACTTAATACAAAGTGGACAGTGAGCTCGACCACCCGCTGGTCTATGCAATCAAAAAAATTAGGTTAATGGCCATTCGATTCTTCGGCTACAGGGTAACTACCACTTATTATCTAAAGCTTTTTATCAATTACAATTAGATGGAATCAGATAATTATGATTTACATAAGTAACAGTCTGATAGTGTGTAAAAGTGTTACACAGAAGAATTAGAAACCCCGAAGCATGGATGACACGCAAAATAGTGAAGCGTTTCACTTTTTTCTGTCTATGGTTTCGGTCTTCCATGCATCATCCTATCGATGACGTTTTTAAAAGTCTGGGATGTTTACCGGAGAATAGTTAGGAACGTTCTTTGAGTATTAATCTAGTCGATAAGCATTACTGGTAGGGCGGTTTATAAACCCGCACGCGTAAACACCATCGACGAAAATCCATTGGACAACACAATTGAGGCTTCGGCCCAATACCTGGCAACGTTCACGTTACATCTACGGGGCTTCGGTAACCACTTTCCCAGGTCGTCCATATTCCGATCAGGGTAATAGCAACAAAAAAATAATAAGGCAGCCGTTGTAACTATACTGAGACCTGAGAACTGATATGTCAAGGTGGGTGGCGCATTTACGAGATGTCTATGGGCTCCAGAAAACACTTAACACCAGGTGGGCTGTGAGCTCGTCTACCCATCTAAGCAATAAAAAATTAGGTTAATGGCCATTCGATTCTTCGGCTACAGGGTAACTACCACTTATTATCTAAAGCTTTTTATCAATTACAATTAGATGGAATCAGATAATTATGATTTACATAAGTAACAGTCTGATAGTGTGTAAAAGTGTTACACAGAAGAATTAGAAACCCCGAAGCATGGATGACACGCAAAATAGTGAAGCGTTTCACTTTTTTCTGTCTATGGTTTCGGTCTTCCATGCATCATCCTATCGATGACGTTTTTAAAAGTCTGGGATGTTTACCGGAGAATAGTTAGGAACGTTCTTTGAGTATTAATCTAGTCGATAAGCATTACTGGTAGGGCGGTTTATAAACCCGCACGCGTAAACACCATCGACGAAAATCCATTGGACAACACAATTGAGGCTTCGGCCCAATACCTGGCAACGTTCACGTTACATCTACGGGGCTTCGGTAACCACTTTCCCAGGTCGTCCATATTCCGATCAGGGTAATAGCAACAAAAAAATAATAAGGCAGCCGTTGTAACTATACTGAGACCTGAGAACTGATATGTCAAGGTGGGTGGCGCATTTACGAGATGTCTATGGGCTCCAGAAAACACTTAACACCAGGTGGGCTGTGAGCTCGTCTACCCATCTAAGCAATAAAAAAAAGTCGTTTAAATTTTGTTACTTTACCAATTTTCAGAAGGCATTTAAAATCTTCACCCCAACAATTATTCTGTTCGAGGTACCGTTCTTGTCATCGTACCTATCGATATAATATTTTGTTGCAGGAAGTCGAAACGGATCAGTTCTATAATTTTTTCCTGCCAGAATTAAAACAGGACGGTTATGACGGAATTTTCTCGCCGAAATCTCGTGCAAAGACGATGTCAGAATCGGAGAGGAAATACGTCGACGGATGTGCAATATTTTTCAGATCTGCAAAGTAAGTACAGCACTTATGAGTTCGGTATTACTTAAAATACAGTTTATCGTGTGAGTAGATTTTCAAATAAGTATAGCATTTGTCCTTAACCAAGTAAGTTAGGGGGGCGATTGTTGTACTTTAATTATACAGTTATATAACATGTGTTACGTCACTATATTTGCTCCTAAAGAAACGCATAGGCTTGACCGCTGTAATCCTTCCTCCTATGCTACCCGGACTCTGACCCAGGACAGAGATTGGACGTCGGGTGAGACATTGCAAGGGGAGTCTTTTGGTGGGTCCCTAAAACATCCTCGGACCCGCGGTCTGGTCCCAACATCTGCAGACCATCAATTTCCACATACCCCACGCACCCTCTAGGCGCGGACTCTTTTTATGAGGTTCGGCCCGAAATAAAAATAAGGCCCGGAGAGGTTGCATTCATGTGTTCTAGAAAATCATTTATCCTATAAAATGTATAAATATGCAACTAAAAGACGGGTCTTCCGTTTTAAGGTTCGCATTAGTTAAGGAGCACCTCATAGAGTTCAATCAGCTGGCGATGGCCAACAGCGAGGGATCAGACAACATGTTAAATCGAGTAATGCCGAAGGACAACATAGGTCTTGCAGCCTTATTGAAGACTAAAGAAGCCGCCTGGGAGAATGGTAATGTTGCTAGTAATGTATTAATTTTTTTTAATTTATATTTCACTATTATAAATGACGTATGTTTTTGTACAAAAATGTACAAAATGTATGTATGAAAATAAAGTATACACAACATACAAACTATAAATTTGATGGTAATCGCGAAGTACTCAAAAAAAAAAGCGAATTGTTTACGAATACGGTCGTTGACTCGTTTTTACGGTTGGTCATAAAAATAAATGGTTTTCGAAATCTAAAATATAAGGGAGAATAAGCGACCTTTTTTTAAATTAATTTTTTTGTAACGTTGATGAATGAACGACTTAAAAACAGTCACCTGGTGTTAAATAGATATCGGGACGGGAATGCCGCCACCCATCTTGTGAGCTGGAGTCATGGTCCAGACGGCTGGCCGATCCTTCGGCTGGTCGTACGACCGTCGAGGCGATTCGCCCGGTCCTTGTGGATTGGGTGAATCGTGACAGAGGACGCCTCACTTTCCGGCTCACGCAGGTGCTCACTGGGCATGGTTGTTTCGGTGAGTTCCTGCACCGGATCGGAGCCGAGCCGACGGCAGAGTGCCACCATTGTGGTTGCGACTTGGACACGGCAGAGCATACGCTCGTCGCCTGCCCCGCATGGGAGGGGTGGCGCCGTGTCCTCGTCGCAAAAATAGGAACCGACTTGTCGTTGCCGAGTGTTGTGGCATCGATGCTCGGCGACGACGAGTCGTGGAAGGCGATGCTCGACTTCTGCGAGTACACCATCTCGCAGAAGGAGGCGGCGGGGCGCGTGAGAGACGCACAATCCCGCCGCCGTCGAGCGGGGGCCAGGGAGGCGGATCTCGCCCAAGCCCTGGCCCTCTAAGTGTTTCGGGTCCCCCTCACATGTCGGTCTGGGGACCGGCGAGGGGGGCCTAAGAAGACGACGTGCAAGCTGCTCTGCACGCGTTTTACGCAAGAGCATCCGGGTGATGGAAGGCCGGCTATCCTCGACCCACGCTGGTTCTGGCCCAGCGGGGTATTCCGTAGGGTAACCCACTCTAACCGGCGCCATCTAGGCGGGCTTCGGACAGTCTGCCGACCGAGAGGGCTGGTGGTCGTGGCGCCGACGACCGCCAGTCCGGCGTCCCGAGGGGGAGGGTGATGGGAGAGATGTGCTCCGCACTAAACACTTCACTTTCCCCCCTTTGCCTTTTCATGAGTTCTGTCTCATGCGAGGTTTGGACGTTGGTTGTTGAGCGACAGGAGGTTTTAGTCAGTTCGACTCTGACATACCCCGCCCAGTATCCCCAGAAAAGGGCGGAAATCTGGCGATTTCCTCCTGACAAAAAAAAAAAAAAAAAAAAACCCATCTTGTGATCACTATAAGGTCGAGGTCTCAATTCTGTGGTATAACGATCTTTCCGCCCTTGTAATCTAAACGCACGACGCTTAGCGGCAGAATTAGGAATGACTTTGATGCCTACCAGTGCGGACAGTAGTTGCGCATAATATATTTTTTGCGGGTTTTTATTAAACGATGTTATTAATCCTTCATCGTGGAAATCATTCGTGTGTTAAATACGTATTTCATTAGAGACATTTATATATATACTTGACTTTCTCGGTACCTACATATATCTGTTTCTGACTTCACTGCCATTAATGTGAAGTGCGAGACAGTGAGAGATAAAGCTTACAGTTAAATATTGTATTTTTTGACAATTAATACCTTTATTGTTCAGAATTAAGTCAAATCTTATGAATTTCCCCTTAAAATAGGGAAGCAGCTTCCTCCCTCTCAGTAAATATTTCAAACGTTTAAAATAAAACACGCAATGCCATTCGTTTTCCTATACGAAACATTCAAATAAATACAGATACCTAGTAAAGGCAACAAATTTAAAACGACTTTATCGGGATTTGGAAATTTCTTTGAAGGTACTTTATAATCCGAAACTAAGGTACAGAATACAAATATTCCTTACGAACGAGAAGGCAACATCAAAGAACTCAATGTTTTGTAATACCTTGCGAAGAATTACGCGCACATTGAAAACGTTTCGTAGTCATTAGCAAACAAACGGACGTACGATTTTATTATATTGTCCACGGTACGAGAATACCGTTTTTGGTAACTTAAATGCGAATTTTAAAAAAATGTACGCCTCGAACTACCTTTCTCCTTTTTTGAAGTCGGTTGAATGTGGCTGTTTAAAACGAAACAAGCAGCTCGGATGCAATCGACGGCCATTCAAACAATAGCTTCTTGTTTGATTATGCACAACATAAGAAATAGCATACACAATAGCATACAGCATTGAGAATGAATATTTTCCTGAAAACATAGCAGATTTATCATAAGGAAGTCGTCGTGGCCTAACGGATAAGACGTCCGGTGCATTCGTGTTGAGCGATGCATCGGTGTTCGAATCTCAGGCGGGTACCAATTTTTCTAATGAAATACATATTCAACAAATGTTCACAATTGACTTCCATGGTGAAGGGTTATTCCTTAATCGTGTAATAAAAATGAAACCCGCAAAATTATAATTTGCGTAATTACTGGTGGTAGGACCTCTTGTGAGTTCGCGCGGGTGGATGCCACCACCCTGTCTATTTCTGCCGTGAAGCAGTAATGCGTTTAGGTTTGAAGGGTGGGGTAGCCGTTGTAACTATACTGAGAACTTAGAACTTATATCTCAAGATGGGTGGCGCATTTACGTTGTAGATGTCTATGGGCTCCAGTAACTTAACATCAGGTGAGCTGTGAGCTCGTCCAACTATCTAAGCAAAAAAAAGGAAAACTTTGAAATGGGTACATTGTCGTGAACCTTCCGGTACGCCTGCGTTATAATGGTGGTGTAGTCATGAACGAATTTCTGCATCCTTTTTTTTTGACGTTTGACATAATTGGTCACTATCAGGCTAACGATAAAATGTATCCTCCTCCTCTTTTTGACTTGTGCAAACTTCAATTAGAAAAGAAAACATTTTAAAAGTTTACTAATTCTTCACATATTACATATGTATCTGTCTCTTTTCCTAGTGGCAACTCTAGATAAGTGCCCATAGACCTGAGATTTGTGGGAGCCCTTAGTTCCCACTGATGCACAACCGCTAATCTGATGATGTATAATCGACTGTAAAATGAATGAAATATCAGGAAAGGAAGGTGTGAGCTTACTCATTAATCCTTTTACATCTTGCCAATTAAAAGTCGTTTGATGTCATAGTCACAAAAGCCCTATTATCCTTAAGTTTGCAAATGCAAAATTGTCTTTAACTTTAGATGCATACCTAAGAATTATACCAGGCATGCTTCCGGCCACACTCCCGCATTGTCTCATGCTCAACTTATAATAAATATGCTCATACAAATAAGCACATCGCCTATTAAAGACTGGTTCAAATAAACACTATAGATATTTCTTAAACATGAATCTTCAATAATAGTGTCATCAATTTCCGAATAAATGCTAAACAAACTAAGAATAGATATTTTTATTACGACATTAATTCATTTGTTGCGGTCTCGTTTGGGACTGAGCTCGTTTTCATAAAGTAAATTAATATCGAACAAGTTTTCGAATAAGGATATGTGTAATAAGAATGTTTTATGTTTGATTTTGTAGAATATTTTATATCCACCCAACAACGTATTTGTTGAGTTAAGTATGCAATTTGTAAAAAATTCCATTGAATTTTGAAAGTTCGATTTTTAGGGGGTGTAGTAGGAACATTTCGGGTATTCCTTTCGCACTCCCGCAGCATGTGTAGGAATGTACTCGTTTTTGTGTTAATAATCCGATCACTAGAGTAAATTGAAACTCTTTTCTGAACAGTGAAAAAGTCTTGCCATCCATGCTTAAGGGGGTGACGTCATAAATCGCATTGTGCATCCCGTTTTTGTTACTAGACTATTGCTATTCGCCGTATCAAGAGATCCAAAAGATTCCTTACTAGCCTGCTACTGAGTTTATTGCCGAATCTTGAACCCCGCAATAAACCACAGGGAAACGGGGTGATTGAAAATCAGCGCTGTTCAATTCATCTACTTTGAACATCATTAGCTGAGCCACTTTCTTTTACCATTTTATTTTTCTTTTATTTATCTAAATGTATTAATCTAAATCTGTATGAAAGGCAATAAATGGTTTTATTATTTTTTATCTCCTCAGTGGTTCGCATTCCGATTCGATGTTGGATTCTGCGAAGCACTGCTTTTGCTAGGGCTAGTGTTAGTAAACTCTAATTCAACTATATTCAAATTTAACTATAACATTTTGTGATGTGCTCGTTCAAAATGGTTATCGACCGCTTCTGATCTAGGTTAGCAGAGCTTGATAACCACTCAAAATAATAATACAATGGCTCAGCGACCGAAAATGTTTTCTGTTCTCTCTGACCTCCCCCGCACTTAAAAACAAGTTGCGAAATACAAATGCGTATCTAAAATCGTAAAACTATTATTTTATTGACGAAAGTTCCAAAACAAAAGTCCCATCTTTGCTGGAAACCGTGGAAAATGTTGTATTGTTAAATTTAATTGAATAACTAACTGTATTATGTACATATATATTTGTTATGATGAAACTTTTGTTTTAATGGAATCGAAATATGAAATTTCGTTGGTTATCAAATAAACAAAAGTACCTTTGCGAAAAAAAAAAACTGTAAAGATATCTTAACAATAGCAGCCTTTGACTATATATTTCACTGTTTACGTAGTCATGGTCTTTGAGAATGGTAGAATTTCGATTTGGCAATCAGTAATGAAATTCGAGAAAGTTAAATTACGACCATTCCAGACGAACGCTAGTGAATTAGTGGTAGTAGCTTCCGTGGTCTACTGAGTAAGCCCGGTTTGTTCGAATCTAGGGATGCCAAGGTTTGGATATCAAACGTTTGATTTCCAAACCTTGAAGTTTGAAGGTAATTCTTCTTAGCAAGTAGGTATAGAACTAAAGCTCAAAAATGTCTTCCGCAATGAAGGAATAACACCGTATTAAATAAAATAAAACTATGCCATTGGTATCGCGAGTCCGCACATATGTGTCGGTGGGTGTGTTTGTGTGTGCGGTGGATACCGTTTTTGCTGCGACGCAATTCTTTGTTGACGTTTGATGGGTGGGTCCGCCGTTATAATACTCAACTACAATTGATATTTGGATCTGGTGGGTGGCGCCATTCAATTTGGTTATATCTACTTAGCTCCGGTCATAAGCATAAAATTGGGAGATCGGTTAGAATTAGAATATCCGCTAATATCTGAAATCCGATTGTAATATCACTCAGGTCATCTATTGTAAAAATAAAGCGTTTTCTACTATTTAATTCTTATTTTGGTCTGAAGTTTTCACTCGAAGAACCGTATCGAATGCCCCAAAATTAATGTTTACCGTAAAAACGTTTAATTCTTGTCTCTATCTCTTAAGTCTTAATTGTTAGCTGGCTATTAACCCAGAAAACACGACAATTGATTTCTATTGTAATGTATACTTTCACTGTCTGTTTACTTCGTTTGAATTTTGAGAGATACGTACGTACGTGCGTATTTAACAATTATTGTTCGACGGTATATTTTTGTAAGACAAAACAAGATGCGTTATGACCTCTGCTCGCGGTATTGTCCTGCCTATATCTGACATTAACTTAATTCAATTAAGTTCGTTCAATTAATAATTCAATTTAATTCGACTCGATATATTTGGACTGGACTGAACATTGTGATTGCAGTCGTGGGGGAAATGCCCGCTGCTTCCAAGGCCATACCTATACTTGTCATGAGCAGGTCTGCACTTGCTTAGCAAAAGCCGAGAAATGAGCTTGCCTGCCCGTTTGAGACATGCTAGTCGATTCAACAAATATTACGATACCCACGCCGCGCAATGACATGAATAATATTGTTTTAATTTAATTATTGCGTAGATAGGTGAACGAGCTCGTTTGTGTCAAGGCTGAGACTTGAAGTCACAAATGTATTGCATAACTGCTGCCCCGCCCTTCAAATGCATGGGTACTTCATGATAGAATTAGGCAAGGTGATGGCACCTACCAGTGCAAACTTACACTATGCTTTACCGCCAGTACGTGTTGGTTAAAAACCGCAGTAAACTGGTACAATACTTTGAGAATGCTGTAGCCCATTCGCGCTATTTACGATATACCCAAGATAACAAGGGGGTTACGATTCTAGGCCAACACTGTACAATATATCGTCCGTTATTTCAGGTTTACCAACGGACTCGTCAATGATCGGCCAGCCGATACTCGTCTGCACAGCTCACATCCACTGGGACCCAGAGTTCTGCGACGTGAAACTCATCCAAACGATGATGTTAAGCAACGAGCTCAGAACGATCCTGGACGATTCGGGAAGGACATTACGTCTCGCCGGACAGAGAGACAACGTGCAGCTGTTGCTCTGCGGGGACTTCAATTCCTTGCCTGATAGCGGTACGTTCGATTACGGCTTTATTTATTCAATGATCATCGGTTGATGGGTAATGTTAGGTCACCAGTGTTTCTCAACTAATGAGTTACCTATTCTAGCATAATGTTGAAGAAACTGGTTTAAGAAAACTGGAGACACCAAGGAAATAACAAAAAGCTTACTCGTGAATCCGAATGATGTGTTATCGATCTGATGTTGAGAATGTTTCTGCGATTACTAAGCCGAGTTTGGTCCTGGCATAGATAGGTATTGGAGTAGAATGTTGGTAGGACTCGCATATAACCACACAAATGGGACGCGATCCATTTTGGGGTAAATCATCTATCATCTAAAACTTGTATAAAGCGAACGATAGTGCATCTTGGAAACGTCGGTACAAGCCCACTGAGTTTCACGCCGGATCTTTTCAGTGAATCGTGATTCCGGTCCGGTGGTAGATTCTGCGAAGCACTGCTCTTGCTAAAGCTAGTCTTAGCAAATTCTCTCATTTTGAGCCCGTGAGCTCACCTACCAGTCCGGGCGTAGCTGTAATAGCGTCTTAGGTTACCAGCTAATAGGGTGGGAAAAAATATATCGGTAGAGCGATTCAGGATTTAGTCGGACTTCTATGATAGCTACTCTGTTTAGTAAAAGCTCTATTCGTGGGGTATATGTTCCGTAAATATGCTGCGAACACAGAAACCGGGAGTCTGGAATGGTAATTTACCAATATGGAATTAGATAGGATACGTTCCGAAGTGACAAAATAAAAAACAACTACATACTTTATATGTTGAGTTTTAAGGTGGATTTCATTCTGCTTGTTCACATTTTCAAAATCGCCGACCGCGGCTAAGGCGGCTTGTGCCGAAGGTGGAACCAATACAGCGGCGATATCACTTAACAACATACTTTAGGCATAGATGTAATAAGAAGGTGTTCGTTCGTACCCCAGGCGTGGTCGAGTTCCTGTCCGCGGGGCGCGTCTCGTCTGAGCATCGCGACTTCAAGGAGCTCGGGTACGCGACGTCCCTGCGCCGCATGCCCGGCTCCGAGCACGAGTTCACGCACAACTTCAAGCTGGCCTCGGCCTACAGCGAGGACATCATGCCCTACACCAACTACACGTGAGTCGGCAACGTTCGGATGAGGAGTCGAGGGAGGGGGGTTGGGGGAGGGGGTATATGTTAACGAAGACCCAGAGATATTAACATAAGTGTTTCATTTTATAGATATACTAGCTGTACCTGTCCGCTTCGCTGGGCATTTAAAATTAACATTATTATTTCTCACTCCCACAAAGATTCTCATCATTAACGCCCCCACAACTGGTGTAGGCAGTACAACACTCGTATAAATATTAGCCTATCCATTATGTACATGTATTTTCGACATGGATACCAAGTTTCAAGTCAATCGGATGCATGGTTCAGTAGTTATAGCGGAACATCCGTAAAAACAACTATAGATTTATATATTAGTATAGATTAATTAAGCAGATATTAATTAATGTTGTTTTTAAATACGAGCTTTAGGACCATCAATAAAATAGTCGAGAAATTTAGGAAAAAGGAAACTTAAATCATCATTCTCCTGTCCATTCTCTTAGTCACCTGAAGTCGGCGCAACATGTTTTCTCTTTCAATACTCTATCATATACCATTTCTTCGCTCACTCCCCTCTTACACATATCGTCTTTCATGCAATCCATCCATTTTCTTTCTTAGTATATAAGGAAATGTTTAATACACAAAAATAATTTGAGCCTTTAAGAGTCATTGATTATGGACGGATATTGAAAATTGCGCGAGGACTAGTTTAAAAGAAAAATTTTATAGATTTTAGATTAGATTTTCAATAAAATACACATTTTTATGTTCACAGGTTTGACTTCAAAGGTATTATCGACTACATATTCTACAGTAAACAGACGATGACCCCCTTAGGGTTGTTGGGTCCCTTGTCGCAGGAGTGGTTCCGCGAGCACAAGGTCGTTGGCTGTCCTCATCCGCACATACCTTCAGGTACAGTTCTATGAATACGCAATGGAATGTAAATATGTATTGTGTGTAACTAAAGACAGAATTGTTGAAGCTTAAAATACTACGCTTACCGAAAGAAACGAAATTTAAGACCTACTACACTCATGGCATAAGGAACACTTCGACGATGACCTCGCTCGTCTGCTGGTTTCAATTTGTATTACATTGCGTGCTTTAAAAAAAGGCATTAGTATTAAAATGTTTGATAACTATTTTAATGTTATGGTGTCAAGAAACACAAACACAAATAGACGGGCCCAGTTACGAATCTAAAATGTCATCTAGCTTGCGGTTTATTTTGTGTGACGTCGTCCATGATTGGACCCCCAGGTCCAGGTCTTGGATTGGTAAATCGAAACAGGAATATGTAGGGATTTTTTCATTATAGTGTAAGGGTCTATAAAACAAATTGAGAATAGCATTCACTAATTACGAGAATTTGTAAATTATTAAAAATTAGAGTGTGTGTGTGTGCGTGTGTTTTTTTTACAGTACACACTGTACATGATGGTCATAGTTTTAGAGATTTTTCTTGGCAAAGGCGTGCGTCACCTGACGTCTCAGACTGACTTGTCACATACACGTCGCATAGGCGATAGCCGGCGCAGGCGACAGGCAAACACAAGGCCGCCGTCGTCCGAAACATGTCCCATGGGGGGTGCCCCGGATTCACTCTCGGTGCTTTTAGGCCTCTCAAGCACCGGTCACCTCGTTGAACTCGTCGATTCCAAATTCGACGAGTGAACTAACCGAAAGACACAGCCCACTGAGTTTCTCGCCGGATCATTTCGGTGGATCGCGATTCTGATACTAGATCAATAATCTCAAATCAATCTAATAAATAGATTCTGCGAAGCACTGCTCTTGCTAGGGCTAATGTTAGCAATTTTTTTTTTATTGGTTTGATGGGTGGACGAGCTAACAGCCCACCTGGTGATATCAGTTCTAAGGTCTCAGTATAGTTACAACGGCTGCCGCGCCCTTCAAACCGAAACGCATTACTGCTTCACGGTAGAAATAGGCAGAGTGGTGGTACCCATCTGCACGGACTCACAAGAGGTCCTACCACCAGTAAAAAATTTGAGTTAACTTTTAAGCGATCGAGAAGTTAAAAACTCACACCAAGCACACTTAACTACACGAGTACTGTAATCATATGGGTTGTTGTTATTGTCCGGCAGATCACTTCCCGCTGCTAGTTGAGCTGGAGATGTCCCCTAGCACGAGCGGCAACTCGAACGGGCTGATCGGCCGCAGGTAGCGCCGCACCAGCGCCCGCCACTGACGTCACGAGCCGTCGCCGTCGCCGTGACGTCACCGCTCGCCGCGTCCGCTGTGAACACTGACGTTTGTACCGTCGCCTTAATCTTAAGTATTAATCTTGTTCGGTCCTCGATGCGGCTCCGTAGTTGCGGTCGGAATCCGCTAGAGGTCGTGTCGCGTTGACAGTCGCCGCCGCCGCCCGAACGTCCGCGGTTCGATCTTGGACCTTATTTACACGTATCGTTTAGAATCATTTTTGAATGCACACAAGAATTTAGTATAATGACGATACGACTGAACGTAACACAAAGCAATCTGTTGTAGTAATTAATTAACGTGTTAAATGATAATGTTACGTTGTTGATACGGTTTAATCAGTGTGTTGGGTAATGTATCGAGATGTCACTTGTATGTGTCCCCCGGGGGATAGTTGTAGAAATTGCGTGCTCGCGTGTGTGTTTGTGTGGGAGGGACGAATTATTATGGACTCTAAGCGAAGGACACAACGTTCATAACGGAGTGACAGCTGATCAAAAACGCCGATTAACCTATGTATGCAATTACGTACTTAACTATGTTTAGTGTGTGTGCTCTGTGTGTTTGTAACGTACTTTTCTTGGACGATTTTTCTTATTGCCCTCGTAGGCAGACGAGCGTACGGCCCAGCTGACGGTGAGTGGTTACCGTCGCCCGTGGACGTCAGCAATGCCAAGCCGCTGCCTACCGTAAATAAGTCTGTGCGGAATAATACGTATATCACTATATCACATCCGAGTTGTACTTATATTATTATCCTTTACAAGATAATTTACAAAAGACTAAAACAATTTTAAACATCTACATGTTTTGGTCTTATTCATGTTTAGTCATCGATGGTTTATAAGCTCGTTATATATAATATTGTTACGCACTGGGGTTCGGGATAAATAAATGTTCCAACAAAGTACAAATTAAAAACTGTATTCAACACTTAAAACACTCAACAAACAATTTAAAATTCTCAATTCCCTCCTTCCGCTTCGCTTTAGGCGATCCGTTCGCTGTTTCTCTTCGAGTAGTTCCGATTAATAACTGACTGCGTGCCATCTCTGCAACGCTTTTATAGTCGAGACGAAGTCCCTAGAATTGTCGTGAATATTCCACAAAAATCTAGTATTGTATGTTTCCGCTATCTGACAATAGATGGCGTTGTACTTCACGAGCGTTCTAGATGCTACTAGATCCTTCGATATTCGTTCGACTATTCGGTGATAGATGGCGTTACTCTTACCTGCGTAACAATATGAATTAACAGTCGTCTTGTAACGAACTCATAAACCTCCGATAGCTCGATTCGGATCGTCGCCAATATTCATTCGTGTGTAATGCTGTGGATACACATTGCCTATTGCATGTCGTTCGTCTCTCTCACACATTATGCAAACAGATAGTTTTTGTCCTTGTCGTGTGTTAGTTTATATAGATAACTTGTCCATTCACATGGTTCGTCGAGAATATATATATATATATATATATTAATATCTCTCTAGTTTTTACATATTTTGAGAACACGCATTCAAGCTATTTGTTTGATGATTGAGAATAATTAGATGCTCAATTATATTTGCTCAATAGAGGTCAATAGAGTTTTTTTTTAATTTACCCCAAAAGTTGATACCGTTGAATACAGAAAATCCTTCCGAAGGACTTGTGAATGGACAAGACTTGTGGCAGATTTCACTGACTTTAAATTGTAAAATCTAGATATTATACTAGGAGCATTGCGTTTTCTTATTTATAAAAATTGATTTAAAGTTAGTGATAGAAGCCGGTGGCTTAAAACATTTCAAGTCTTCTAACGAATTGCCTAGTAAATAGTATAAATATATATTTAGTGTGATGTTGGTACGTGCAATCAATGATTTTACTAATTAATAACACCGTTTTTTTTTTATTAGCAAATATTACGAATCCTTTACAATCCTTTAGTTGGTTATAGTTAATTGACGATTCGATAAATAAATAAATAATAAAAATGTTTTTTTTTTTCGTATATTATGACGACGTCAAGATAACAAATACGCTTAGTTTTCAATGTAGCATATACAGTCGAGGAATGTAAAGTTAATATGTTTGATTTGAATATAATATAGAAAAAAAACAATAATTTAGAGCGAATATGTTTGAATGAAAAAAAAATTTTTTTTTTCTATTGTTCTAAAGTGTACAATCTGACGTCCATTTGCATACAGCGTGTTTGTTCCTCCGCTGTATATAATATGCTGGGTGTGTTAGGAGAACGCTTCCAAAAACGAAGACAGACGATAGTACTAGACAGGCGTTCGTTGAACCGAGCATCAGCTGTTTTTTATTTTGTGTTTAATTGCTGGTTTTTTTTTAAATTAAGTAATGTATTTTTTATGAAACTAGCTTTTCATTTAGCTATATTAACATGATGGAGCGTAAATAATGCTAATAAAACGTTTTTAAGTATGATATTTTTTTTTTAAATCAGGATCGATTTTTTTTCCGTCCTATCATCAAAGGTGTCATTAGTACTATTGTCTGTCTTCGTTTTTGGAAGGGGTCTCCTAACACTCAATATTTAATTAACTAGAAATATAAATATATCGGTCGTAATCAGTGTACGTTCGCCACGTTGAAGTCAAGGGGAGCGCTGGTAGTCTGAACTATGCCTAAAGAGTTACATTCGTCGTCCGCTTGGCTTCATCGTCCCAAGCGGGGATCAGTGAGACATTGTGTTCTGACTTATTACGGCACTATACTTAACACTATGTATAAGTTGAAGACGCGTGCCAACTTCAAAGTGATTAATGCATCGATTAATGGAAACTCGAATCGTGCATCCCTATTTATATACAGGGTGTTGTTATTTCGGTTTTGCGTTCGGAAAGGATGTATGCTCGAAATGGGACTTTAGCTTTGTGTCTCGACGTACGAAATTCACGTATTGATGATCACGGGCTCCGGGTTTACGCTTAACATCAAATTTGTCTGGAGTTTGTCTGAAATTGTAGCTTAAATTTCAAAAAAAGGCATTCAAGTCAATTTATTTCGAGCAATCACGGATATTACGTCTCCTTTCAAACAACTATAATTGTAATGACATTTGAACGATGCGTTAATAAGTCCTCTGTACAAAATCTATTTAGTTGGTACTTTCGCGGCCGGGTTTGTAAGATAGATATCTAAATAATAATAAAAAAAAAGTTTATAATGTAATAGAAATATTTCAATTATTTTTGATACTTAATTACCTATTTTAAAAGAATAATTGTATAGAGACCATTGTTAAAACTAACACTGCCTACAAATTTATTATTGACATCACTCGTGTGCAATAAAAATATTGTTAGTGAAAATTGTAAGTGATAATATAGTGATATATTTAAACGTGTGCTTCTTGGCATCGGCAGCGAGTGGAATCTAAAAACGTTTTACGAAGAAAAAATTATGTGAAAATTTAACTAAATTATATCACCCTGTATGTGCACAGTGATGTTTAGTTTAATTTGTATCGTTTTCGTCTCGTGTAGCTTCTGTGGTAACGCACGTGGCGCCACATCGCGTTACAGACCCGAAACACCGGTTGTGCGAGCGATCCAAACCACATTTGCTGTCCCTTTTCATTTGTCTCTAGCAGTCCGTTAGGGTCGCCGCACACGGCCCACCGGCCCCTGCGTTAAGTCCATGTATGAAAACTACAGGAAATATTCCGGTGGCGGCGTTTTGTGGTTGTGGCTGGCGGCCCGTGTGCGGCGACCCTTAGACTCCCTCCCCGCTAGTGGGCCTCTCGGTCGTGGTGACTGTCTCACTGGTCAGTATTCGTCTCGTCATCGATATAAGCGTTAGTGTTCGTTTCGACGCGGCGTAGCGGAGTGTCGGCGACTGCCCCTCGACGGCGGGCGGTCGGTATTAGGTTAATTAGACGTTTTGTGTTCCAACAGACTCCTCAGCGAGACTCTTAAAACTCGACGTAATCCAAAAACGCATTAGGTTCGTGTCTGGTTAAAGAAAATTCAACGGTCTGAAAAATATTGACTGATCTGCTATCTCTACCTTCCCCCCACTCCTCCCCTCTCAATCTCTCTTTCGAGTCTTAAAAACGTCCCCGTGCGTTAGAGTAGTCCTGTTACAGTCGCGGTGAATCGCCTCCGAACGTTTCCCTTTTAGTTTTTAAGTAGGTTATATTACTATTATACACAAGGTCGCGTCCCGAACTTCGGTTCTCAGATTTAAGGACTCGCGAATCGCTTTTCGAAACTAGATTTTTGCGAAAGGAATACAGTATTGACGACGTTCTCACGCGTAAGGGACCGATCGATATTTCGTTAACGATTAGTTGCATTTTTTTTTTAGTTTTAGTAAGATTTTAATTGAGCCGGGAGACGTTTGAAGGCGAACCGTTTAGTGAAAGCGGGTAGAATACTGGCGTAGTACAAATGTGTTGTGTGAATGTTGATGTGACGTCGGCTATATCAAATTCAACTGTTTGTTCCATTGGTAAGAGTTGCTCTGTGATTTTGTTCTTAATATTCGTAGATTACGGACCAAAATTGGTAATTATATTCGTCTAGAACTGGGGTTATCCTTGTGTGACGCCGTCGCTGTATAGAGGCTGGAATGTGTCGAACCAACATTTTCGTAATGACCTAGTCGTGGGCTCAACTCGGCGTATTATCTCTGCGGCTTTAACTCTAGCTGAATCGATTTTCGAATCGAAAACGAAAATCGATTATTCATGATTCGAAATGCACATCTATATATACATACGTCAAATCGATTCGCCGAGTTGCAGCATTTTCAGATTTTTGTTGTGAAGCGTTAGTTGTTTCGTCGAATGTAAAAAATACAAAAATTGCTTTATTATTATCATTTTTATACAATGTTCAACAAATATATTTTTGTTTCACTCCTCAACTGTGTTTACGCTTGTATTTGTATTTTTTCATCTCGATTTGGAATTAATTTATATCGAATGATTGATTTTGAACATTTTTATACGACATTAATATAATTATAATTGTGTATATCAAACGATAGGTGCTGTTGTATTTTTTTTTAATGTTACAGAAATGTGATAGTGGTATCTCTCTCTCTCACTCTCTATATCTCTCTTGTGAACCATCGGGTGTATTGTGAAGAAAATAAGCCAAATCATGAAAGAAGGGTATATTTGAATTATTACTTTTAGGATGTTAAAATGAAGTTTTTATACGAATCAAATTTTACTACGGATGCTGTTCTTTTGTCTAAGTACAACATAGATTTTAATGTCCATATCATGGTGATCTTTTAAAAAATATATATATATGTATTTAACGTAGGGTTTTTAAAGACTGCTGAAGTTTATGCCTGTGTTCCGGAATCGAATCCCATAAGAGCCAACATTGTCAATATGGCTGGCGGTCTACCCACAACATTAACTGCTTAACATCATGTAAACCGTCAGCTCGTGTGCTAATCTAAGCCAAAATAAAATGGCACAATTAAAAATCTTAATAACGACAATTTTTCATTCCGAATACCTACACAATCTATTTCTCCTTCACTATTATGTTAATGAAAACAAATATGAAAACTATAATAATTTCTGAAAATTAAAAAAATTTGCGTGTTAGTATTTTTTTTAAATTAAATCTTATAATATCTGGTATATAATAAATTTGAATTAAAAAAAAATAGTTTTAAAATTCTCACTCAGTTGTAAAATTATTCTCAACAAGCGCCATAACAAATTACTTGTAATATCCAGAGACATGATTGTTAAAATGAACGGCCTCACTTACTATTTACATCGGAAATTCGTTAACAAGTTTGCTGCTATGTAGGTTACCGGTGTCCTACGCGGCCCACTAAACTAATTATGTCGATTTCTTTCTTCGATCTTCTTCTTCTTACTAAGGCACCGGAATATCTAATAGACTCTGGGAAAAACGAATCCATAGATACTGAGAAATAATCTATTTTTCTAAGAGACCTCACAGACTAAAACACACATTAACAAAGGCAATTTTTCATTGGTGGTAGGACCTCTTGTGAGTCCGCACGGGTTAGTACTACCACCCTGCGTATTTATGCCGTGAAGCAGTAATGCGTTTCGGCTTGAAGGGTAGGGCAGCCGTTGTAACTATACTGAGACCTTAGAACTTAGATCTCAAGGTGGATGGCGTACTTTGTAGATGTCTATGGGCTTCAGTGACCACTTAACACCAGGTGGGCTGTGAGCTCGTTCACCCATCTAAGCAATAAATAAAAACAAATAATAAGAGGCAAAGTTAAGCAATCCAGGTGCTTTAGTAACAAATCGACATATATAATAACTTCTACTATACTATAATATACTATAAACATACTATATACTATCACTATACTATAATAACTTCTAATAGCTTCAGTGCGTCGCGTAGGACGGCGGACCTACATGGCAGTTAACGTGTTAATGGAATTTAAAAAAAAAAGAGTTAAATTTTTTTTTTTGCTTATTTTTTTTTATGATACTTTAGTATTGCAGTGAAACCAATAGACAAAAGTGTTGCGTACAAATTATATATCGGCTACGAACGACAAAGAGCTTTATTTGTAACAAGTTTAATTGTACTAGAATATAATATGATCTCTTTATATTATAAAAAAATATATATATTCAATTTTGATGGACGTTTTTACTTAATAGTTTAGCTTTGTGAATTTTTATTGTAGTATTTATGTAACTAACATTCTTATTTTTAAATTGTAATCGATTTTTAATTTTTACACGCCGCAGTATCTATTCAGGTTTGTATAAAAATATCATTGTAACTGTCCGCTTTATGAGACTTGACGACCAATTTTATGTGTTTCTGTATTTGTAATTAAAAGAGAGATCATACCTCTGTTAATGTATATGTCTACTCTTGTTGTTAACAATATGCACCGCTATTTGTTAAAACCAAATATAATGTGTCTTTATTCTAAAATAATTATAAGATAATGTTAATTATCTGAAATACATGAAAATATCGGCAAAACTATTTTGGATTACATTACATTTGTGGCCTATGTTTGTTCAATCTGTTTACTGACTTGTGACGTCATAAGCGTTTACTGACCATTTTGTTGAATTTAATGCTCAAAATTGTCTTTTTTTCTTAAAAATAAAAAATGTAACCTAATGTAGTTAAAATAAACGACCTACATTTTATAACAGACAAGGGTATTAGCATTTTAGTGGTTAAATGTAACATAGAGAATTATTATCATGTTTTTTATAAACTTTTAGGTAAAATATCATTTAGGTTTTTATTCTCATGTAAATTTATATCCACATTATCCTAAGTTTTCTGAAAATTTGAACCGTTTATATATGATATCTCAACGAAAAGTAATCATATTTCTAACTTTGAATTTATAATATTTATATATAATTTACCTTTGTCTGTACTTTAAATTAACTATCTATACTTTAAATTACCTTATACTTTGAATTACCTTGTCAACATTAACCTATTTTTGAAAAAACCGGTGCATATTGTTAAATAATATTAATGTGGAAGTTTTAAAGTTGTTTGTTTGTCGGTTAGCGATTCGAATTTATCACAAGGAAGCCTTCACATTGTAAATTTTATTTGTAAATATGTAATTTCGATAACAACAATTAATGCTGAATTACGAGTGAGCCCACACATTGTCAGCCGTGAGGACTTCTGCGCAAACTTAAATACGCTCCGAAAGAACAGAGGCCGGTATCTCCACATTCCACTCTTTAACTATCGAATAAGCTCAATGCTAAAGACTGTATGAGATTTGAAAATAATGTAATATCAAAAATATTTTCTGAAGCCCCTTAATTACTTTACACGATGTGTTTTTTTTGGTGATTTAATGTTAAGATCGGAAAAGATTAACTCACTAGTATGTAAGGACAAATGCTTTACGACACTGTGATAGTCGATACAAAATATATACCCGAGGGATACACCGTACGCATTTATGACTTTAAACGAAATATCAAATTGTCTTAATAAAAATGTTATAAGGAATGTTATTTTATTGTATTTTGAGATACTCAACAGTAACTGCACGATTTTCTTAATAGTCGTCTATCTATTCTAATCATCGTCTTTGTCAAACCAAAATCTGCTATGCGCACTTTTGAGATTTTTACTTTTTGACCTTTTCGTATAGTTCACAGCCCTATCTACCATACCGTATAAAAAAAACTGATAAGTGTTTATAGCTTTAATATTTATCTATAGCTTTCATTTCATATAGTTCTTAAAAATTCACCTTCATGTAAAATTTTATATGAAAATATTTTTACTCGTTAATTCAAAATAGAGTTTTTCACATAGCAGATTTTGGTTTGATAGCGACGATATTTGGTACTAATTTTATTTGACTCCACTGATTAAACCACCTTTTAAACGATTTCAGATTGTTTTTCTTTTTAACTATAAAACAAAATGTATTGACAAAATCGTGCGGTTATTGTTGTGAATGTAAAATGTAACAAAAGTACAAATCGTATGTGCAGAAGTTCGGACTCGGCTCGAGCGGTCGTCGCGTTTACTGTGTGTGTTGTGTACGTGTGTGTGCCGACAGGCGGCATTTGTTTGTGTGTGTGTGTGCGGCCGCGCCCCCGCGTCTCGCTGTTCTGTTTGTTGACACATAAATGTAAATTTGAATGAATCAAATTATAAGAGAATATGAATTTTACAACTTGAGTTTTTTTTAATTTTATGTCCCTTCCTATATTCAAAAAAATTGCATTAATTCTGAGAAAATATCGCCTGCAGGAAACATGTCAATTCAATTTCAACTTTTATTAATTATATTATTTTCTTCAAAAAATAAAGTGTGAACTGTCAACATAACATTTATTATATCTACATTGAATACAGAAAAGAAACCACTAATCTATTTTACATTAAATTTCAAGAATTCTAATATGAACTAAAGTAGATTAAATCATACCAGTATTAAAATTAAATGTACTTAAACACGACATCCTTGAAACTATCGACAGTTTGAAGCTCGAGTGTTACAGGGCACTGTAACCAATTTGCAAGTAATTCCTCAGTGTAACCCAGTAAGAAATACATTTTTGTCGGTGAAACTGCTCGCCTCATTATTGCTGCTACCCTTATATGGTTGAACTGACGTTTTATTATAACCTGAAAGTAACACAAATTTATTCAATGTCAAATAATGTCTTTTTGCCTATTAGTATTAGTGTAACTAAAGAAAATGCTTGTATGCACAGTTGATAGATAAGAGATTAATATACATATTTATTTCATAGAGTAACTTTACTATTGACCTCCAAACATTGTTGACATTTTTACAGTTTTTTCCATTAAGAATCTGCTATTTCCATCATCAGCCATTTATCTTGCAGAAATGCTCCCTAGTACCAACTCTTACTTACTCTGCTCTTACTTACTTACTTACTCTTGCTTACTCTGAGAGCTGACAACTACAAAAACTGGACTTGTTCATAAGACATTTCTAGATTCATTTTATAATTTATTGCTAAAATAATTATTGTGATTCTAATTTTTATATTTTAATTCTCACCTCGCTACAAACAAGTCCATGCCAGGTGCCTGTCATAAATCTTCTAATGAATTCGTCTTCCACGGCTGTTTCTGATCTGCGGAGACCATCTTTCAAACTCGCTGCAAGTGTAAATATAATTAAAATAATGATATATCTTATTTTTGGTACTTGGTTTTAAAACATTTACATGTTTAGGTTATCTAACTAGTGTTAAAAACAATATTTTTGTATATCATCAATATGTTTTACAAATAGCGAGTGAAAATTCTAGTAAGTCGATGTATGTAATCTTTGCCTTTTTCAGGATAAAATTTGTGGGCAGTATATTAAAATATAAGCAACTAGTCATACTCGCCCACTTCGCAGGGCATTTATAATTAACATTATTATTTATTGTCATTATTATTAGGGGTCCAACACTTATATAAATATTAGCTTATCCATTAGGTACATGTATTTTCTACATGGATACCAAGTTTCAAGTCAATCGGTTGCATGGTTCAGCAGTTATAACGGAACATCCGTAAAAATCACTGTAGATTTATATATTAGTATAGATGACGTACAAGTATTCCACGAATTCCAGGATTTGCGATGAGCGATGTAATGAGGTGGATTTGCCATTTCGTACGTTAATGGTTTGTCGCGTTTCTTCGTAATTCTGTACTTTCCAGATACAACCCTGCATAGTGGAGCAGACGTATGTAATTCAGACGCCAAAACCGGAGTCCCTTGGACCGTAAAATTAATTGACCGAAAACTAATCTGAAAGAAATTAAAACATATTCGAATAGTAAAAAATATATTTTGTATCATCATATTATTATAGTCTTATGACACAAACCTGAGCTAGCTTCGCTACAGAAGTATTCATGCTTATGAAAGAAACTTATTAGGTATATGGTTTTAAAACTATTTTTGTTTTTAATTTAAGGTTATGAAATAAAAAACCTATTCGCCATCAGTTTATGTCAATTTTATAAAATGTCAAATTGCCTTTGACATTATTTTTTTAAACGTCATTAGGCAAAAGTATTCATAACAGACGTAGGTACAGATTACTAATGGCAAAACAATCTGGAACATGCTAACTGAGCATAGTTATGATCTATAAATTCAATTTTAATTACTCTATAGCGCATATAGGGACGGTAACCACTTACGGTGGACCGTATGATCGTCTGACTACAAGTGCAATAAAAAAATAAAACATAGGTATTTCAATGAGAACTAGCAAGAATTTTTATTCTATTTATATCACGATTATAGCTTTGAATTGATTATTTAACTTAAATCACAATACAAATATACACACATAACAAAGATAGTCATTAGCACTGTAAGCTGACTCCCAACGTGACCGTATCATAATAATGTGGTAATTTTTACGAAAACGTACGTACGTTAGAGTACGCTAAAACGTAGATTGAATAATTGAATTTGAATGACGGACTTTTGAATGTTTAGCAATTGCGAGAAAAAATGCTGCTGAAAATGGTTTCTAGAGACAAAAACTCTATCAAAATGATAGTACTAGATGGGAACAACATAATGAATAAAGTATGTAAATAAATTAATAAAATAAATATTAATGAAAAAAAGGGATAGTGGTACATATATTGCTTCTATAAAACAAAGACTAATATTCAGAAAAACAATTTGATCTAAGCATTTGATAGCTAAATTTTAATGTTCACAGTATGGTTTGCGTAACATTAAGCTATAATAGGATAATTAATGAGGCGCGATATTACGGCAACTAAAATGATATTTTTTAACGGTGTTCGCTTTTAACCATGGGCACAAGATGTTTCTTGTTACATTTATTTTTGGTCATAAATTTATGCAATGGTAAAAGAAGATTGGATCTTATTCATACTTAGGTATTCGTTGGATTTTCTTTAACCCTTTTTATTTTTAATTTCTCGCAGTGCTTGCTAATGACGTAAAAATGAAGTCCTCAATCGTGGAAAGCATCATCAAGAAAATATGCAATATTTCTTTAAGCTCTATCAACAATAGCACTCACGAAGAGAAAGTTGTCATGCTCAGTGATATAGAGAAAAAATTAAAAGCTTCAGCTTTGGCATTAGGTAGCGACGGTCGTATGTATACGAAAATTATTATGCATAGTCTAAAGTACATGTTGTTTAATGACAGCAAAGAACATGAAGATGTAACAGTTGTAGACCAAGATTTACCTACAACAACTGTTGTAGCTATTCGCAGAAAAAACTACGATATAGTCACCACACACAGTACAAAAACTACAGAAAAAAGGGACAAAGGAAAAATAATTCAGAGCATAGTCAGTGGAGTACAGTCTTTGGCTCAGAAATTAGCGAAAGAGAACAATTTAAGTAAAGATATGAAATCACTTATTGATCATCTAAAGAAGACTATAAAAAATCTTTTGAAAAAAAAGAAAAAAGGCGGGAAACCATTAAATGAAAATTTGTATACGGACATAATAGCTGCCGGTGTTGATTTGATGATTAAAAATAACTCGAAACAAACATTTTTAGAGGAAACCAGAAGGAATAATAAAGATGTCAAAGACAGTGCTGAGATTAAAAGTGATATAAAAAGAAAGAATTTTCTACTTAGAAATACAACTCCGTTCACAAAACCACGGAAAGTGAACACAAAATGTAAATATGCTATTGACAAGGCATGTTCCGATATTAGATCTATGCAGAATTACATTTGTCGTTACGATAAAGCTGAAATACCTCTAGATAGATTATGTAATCGTATTAATGACTGCCTAGATAAATCAGATGAAAAAAATTGTGTCAAAACAGGTGCATTTTTATCAATGTTCTCATGTATTTAATGAAATTTGTCAATCAACTTTAAAGTTTCTTTTTCTATTACTATTTCAGCCGTAGAAAGGATTAAAGGAACCGGCGATATCATAAACAGCCTAGAAATATCTATATCCAATAAGTGTATCTCATCGGACATAAGCAGTTCAATATTTACAACGCAAAATCAAATCTTACATAACGTTCTGAAGTCACATTTGATTTTTTTTAAAAGCGATACTTCTAGTTGGCCCAAATATGACTCAGACTTCAATAACGATACGGTACGGAAAATATCGAACGAGGCCGCTTTAGTAGTGAGTTCGCTAGTTATGGCCATAGAGGGTTCATTGTGTGCGCGCAGATTTGGACTAAGCAACATCGATGAGATTGCCATACGACATAGTGACGATTCTGACCCAGACGAAGCGTTAGACGAAGTTCTAAAAACAGCATCCTGGTCGCCTAACAGCTGCGTCTGCAACGGGCCGGTGTGCCGACATAACGATTGCCCTGCGCTATGTAAACGTCTTTGCTGGCAGAGATACAGTCTGAAGAGATGGACTTGTCACGCAATAGACGAGGGCCCTAGTATCCCTCTAGATTATTTATGTGATGGCAAATATGACTGTTATGATGAAACCGATGAGTTGGATTGTTCTACAGGTAATGCCTTCATCTCTGGTATACACTGTCATTAATAAATATTATTTCTTTCCTATGAATATAAACTATGAGTATTTTATAACTAAAATTAATGGCCGTCGTTTGCCTGATAACATTATTATAATTATATCATATTTTAAATAATTAATAATTTGCTTGTTAAATTTTCTTGTTGCTTTTTTGCCTACCTAACTGCTTGTAGCCTCGAAGAGGAATTCTGGCTTCAACATGGCCGGTGGGCGATCTTACGGGGCTCAGTCTGAGAAACTTTGCTAACGTCGGTTATAGCAAGCGCAGTGCTTCGCTTAATCTTCCATTGTATCGGAATCGCGATCCACTGGGAAATTTCGCCAAGAAGCTCGTTGGCTTGTGTCTATGATCTAGGTTGCACGTCGAACTCTTCGTCGCTTTTTTTTCCTTATCTAAGCTGATGGTCTTGAGAGACCATCTCAGCGTAACTCTAACAAGTAGAGTAGAGAGCTCGCGGGGCTCAAACCTGACGACGTTGCTAACACTAGCCCGAGTAAGAGCAGTGCTTCGGAGAATCTACCACCGGATCGGAAACACGACCCATTGAGAAGATCCGGCGAGAAACTCAGTGGGCTACTTCGTCGCAATCGACAAGTTTTCTACGTTGCGTTTTCGTACGCTTAAATTTGAGCTCACCGATGATGATTTTCATCAATAAAGAAAACAACAAACACAAACCATAATTTATAATAATTTTATTAATGTTTAAGGAGAATACTACGGTAAATTCGACAGCAGTGTAATATACAAAAACATACTCAAAAACATAGGGATAAAGACGAAATCAAAAAAATACGGATTCGTTCTAACCGAACTACTCACACTTCATGAAACCGTCGCATTACTACAGAAACTCGGTCTCGAAAGTAATTTGGAAACGATGAACGTTAAAATTGTACGGGACCAATGCTTTTCGACGATCGCAGACATATACGAGAGGTCTACGTTGATGGTCACCAATATCGTACAACTGAACGAGATTTACGATTATCTGATGACACTAAACCGAATACTGGTTGACGCTATGAAGCGATCTCGAACGGGAAACGAAAGGATAATTCCTACGGAAGGTTGCATGTGTAAAGGAACTCGTTGCGTATTACTAAGATGCTCAGAATCATGTAAAAGAACATGCACTGTTCAACATAAGTTCACCAAATACAGCTGTAACAGAAAGATGAATCAATTTATACCTGTTGAAAAAGTGTGCGACGGATTGCCGGATTGTCCGGATGATGAAGATGAAAATGATTGTCAAAAAGGTCGAATATTATTTGAACTTTTATCTTATTGATGCACCGGTCCTATCTAGCGATGCACCGATGTTCGAATCCCGCAGGCGGGTACCAAATTTTTCTAATGAAATACGTACTTAACAAATGTTCACGATTGACTTCCACGGTGAAGGAATAACATCGTGTAATAAAAACCAAACCCGCAAAATTATAATTTGCGTAATGACTGGTGGTAGGACCTCTTGTGAGTCCGCGTGGGTAGGTACCACTGCCCTGCCTATTTCTGCAGTGAAGCAGTAATGCGTTTCGGTTTGAAGGGTGGGGCAGCCGTTGTAACTATACTTGAGACCTTAGAAATTATATCTCAAGGTCACATTTAAGCAAAAAAAAAAATTGTAATAAGGTCATAGACAGTCTATAGGTCTTCTTTTAATGTCAGCATTGCGCATCTTTGCGGCAATGAATGGATTAATTTGGATTAAAAAAAAATAGATGTCTTGGGTGAAATCATCTCATGATTTGATCATCTGAACGAATGAGAGACATCAGATATAGTCTAATCTCTTTTTTTCAGCAGAAGTTTGTCGGATCCATCATTTAGTACTTCTTCGTCACAATATTCAGAGCGTGGGCCACAAACAGAGAGGGACAGCGCTAGGCGAAGCTCTTGATGCTTGGAAAACAAAGGTTTTTTTTGGAAATTTGAACAAATTTATTAATAATATTTCGTTGCATGCATTACAAATTTTAAATTGTCCCACCACGGCTCTGTGTGTGTTTATAGTGTTATGGGATACCGAAAAACATACACGTACAAAATTTCCTATAGCCTTCGTCTAATATAATCTTTAACTAAAACAATCTCCCAAAGCTTTTAATCTGGTTACCTTAATTCATTGTATAAATCAGTAATCCTAATAGACGATAAAATTGTTCTTTTTCTAATTCTAAAGACAAATATTCTATTTTCATTTTAATTGAGTTTAAATAATAAATCTTCAGGTAACAAACGCCCTGTTAATAACAGAACGAAATGGGAGACCTAATCGGAAAACTCTCGAAGATGTCGTAGCCAACATGCTCCAAGATCTGCTCAAGACGTATGCGACGCTCGAGAATTACAGACGCGGAGCAACCAATAATAACTTGAAAGAGTTCGTTAATATCTCACAGCAATTAATAAAAATTTTGAAATCTTGTTGGAATTAAAAATACAATTCAAATGTGTGATTGTTTGAGTTTCGTTGTTGGCAATCAAACCTTCTTTCTCTATTGACCTTTAAGCTTTATTGTAGCATTGAAATGAAACACTTGGGGTGCCATTACGAGTCGGGGGAAGTCGTCTTCGGATTACGTGTTGAGGGCGGTAGGTAGGGCAAGACTTAAAACAACTAAAATAATTTGCAGTTCAGCAACCTGCGTCCGAGCTTTGGATAAGACAGCTTGGAACTTTGGATATTATATGTAAACGGTATATATCTGTTTATTGAATGTATATATTTTCTATAATAACGTATTGTTTATGGTACATCGCAACATACCTGCTATATTTTTATATTTTCCAGAATTTCTGTAAATTAAACGGTTGTCATGAAGAGATCGCTGTTAGCGATAAGACCGCCTATTGTACAAATGTATCTGCTATTTGACTGTTTTTTGAATGTAAATTGTGTTGGTTTGCAATAAAGTGTATTTTCTCTCTCTCTCTCTCTCTCTCTAAATTAAGGCAGGTGGAAGTCAAAGTGACCCACCCACCGGTCACACCACGGGACGCCGAACTTCTCGGCGAAATATGTCTCAAATCGAAAGGTGGATTTAAAATTATGTAATGAAAATTTCTAAATAATTTGTTATAATTCCTCGATCGAATCCATCAAAACAAAAAAGTACTAAAACTCATATCGCAACTACAAATGGTAGGCAGAGAATTGGCTGTGCTCCTGGCATTGAGCGACGGTAGCCGCTTAACATCAGGCAGGCCGTATGCTCGTCTGCCTACAAAGGCAATAAAAAAACTACATACCTACTCATAAAATACATAAAATTATAGAAACAGATGTGTGGTGTCGTGGGACAGCGGATAGAAACGAAGTTCCTTATTATAAAAATATTAATTTTAAGTTCTATTCGAGGTATAAAGAACATAAAACTGGAGGTTTCGCACCAACCCACGGTCATTCGGTAACGTGCGAATTTATTGTGGTACACTTCATTCACGGTTGTTTGCATAAGACTTAGTGTATTGTGCAAACGAACGCTCTGAGATCGTGGTCAATGAATGATAAAAAAATATGTTATTTTTTGTACGTTATTACAAAGTTAAGTCGTACACCCTGTGCATTACTAATAAAAATCTTACGTTACGGACGTTTTTTCCCGGTTAGGGTACCCCTCCGCATCGTCCCATAAGGAACTTCGTTCCAAAAATAGTCAATCGTAGGACCTGAGCCGGGACATATTATGCCTCGATTGAATCGGAATTGGACCGAAATAGACAATGATAAGCGTTAAAACGTAAAGAGTTGCCTTATCTTTGTTACCGATAATTAAACTTAATAATATCGATAAATATCCAGTATCGACCAGTACTACGTCAACAGCTGTGTGTAAAAGTCAGAAAATGGCAGGTGAGTTACATACTGTGTTTCAGTATCAAAATACATCATTTTAGTTCGTATGGTAATCTAGTAAAAGAAATAGACAACGATCGGTTAAATAATTGATTTTTAATTAATCAATATCCTATGTTCTCAAACCTCGTATGAAGAATGATCGACATTCAGTAAATGTCCTAAAAGATAATACATTTCATGGTACTAATCTAAAAAACGCTTTTATTACATTATATACTAGAATTTGTAAGGAAAGCTGGTGAGCACAAGTGGTATAGTTGTTGCAAAGTACGACTGCGCGCCGCCCTTAGTTATGTGCCACGTAACATCCGGCTATGGAATGAGCTCCTCTCCACGGTGTTTTCTGAGCGCTATGACATGTCCTTCTTTAAAAGAGGCTTGTGGAGAGTATTAAGCGGTAGGCAGCGGCTTGGCTCTGCCCCTGGCATTGCTGAAGTCTATGGGCGACGGTAACCACTCACCATCAGGTGGGCCGTATGCTCGTCTGCCTACAAGGGCAATAAAAAAAATGTGAGTGGCCAATAAAAAATGAAGGCTAAAAAAGGTGTATACGCGTCAATGTAGGCTATATGTAGCCACTGACCGCTACCTTTTAGGTACTTCAAGCACCGGTCACCGTCCTTGCCGAACCCACCGCTTGCGACGAAGGGCTCGACGAGTAATTTAACCCATAAACAAAGCCCTCTGAGTTTCTGGCTGGATCTTCTCAGTGGGTCGCGTTTCCGATCCGATGGTAGATTCTGCGAAGCACTGCTCTTGCTAGGGCCAGTATTAGCAACACTCCAGTGTGAGCCCCGTGAGCTCACCTACGCGTCAAGAAGAAGCTGAAATAACCTCTCAAGGCCATCAGTGCGGGTAGGAAAAAAACAAAACAAAAAAATTACCGCTCCGTCCGGTACACACACTAACGAAAATGTGTATTTACGATTACAACTACAAATAAAGGCCAGGCGCGCTCATACTTTGCAACAACTATAGATGCTACGTTCAATAAATTCTAAATGAATTACCGATGCCGAAAACTGAACTGCTGCGATATCATCTATTAATCTTCAATTGGACTTCTGTATCAGCATTTTTGAACCGTAAAGCAAAACAAACATCCTTTATTTATTTTTTATATTCGGTTCATAGGGTTGTTAATTATTAAATACTAAACGAAGACCGCTTCGCTCGGTATTTTTTTTTATAACTTGTGTTTTTTTAGAAATTATATTTAAATACGAATTACATATTGATAAAATGATGAAATATTCCAAGATCCTTTAGGCAGACACAAATAATATAAACTTAGAATTCATGTTTCAAGAGACGGGCATTGACGGGCTTGATGTCTATGGGCTCCGGAGACCACTTAACACTAGGTGGGCCCTGAGCTCATCCACTAATTTTAGCAATAGCAAAAACACAAAAAAAATTAAAAGTTTTATCCTCACCTTAAAACTGTAAAACTGATTTTTCGAGTAGGTTCCCAAAGCTAGTTATCTCTTTATCAGTATTCAGTATCTTCTTAAGATAAACATCAGCATTACTATATACTGTACCTAAGTATATACAGCAACTTAATTTACAACGTTTGTAGGTAAAGTTAAAAATAATAATTTGATTTAGGCTTATCACAGATAAGTATGATAAGTTTACACTGTTTTTCGATTAATAGTAGATTTTTTTTATTGCTTAGATGCTAATAGTAGATGAGTTTATTGTATTCCAATATTTTATATTAATAACACTAGCGGGCCAGATATACGTTGTCGTGTCCTGAAAATAGAAAAGAAACTTAAAATTCGATTGTAACGCCACCTGCCGTTGTCTATTTTAAGTCTAAATTTGCTCACCTAATAGTTTACCGACGTGTCCCTTTTAGATTAGATAAGTATTAGAGAAATGCTTGTGACTGTAACATCGTCATCAGATCACACGATCACTGCGGGCTTCTCACAAAGTTCGCCACAATGACTGGTCCTACGCAGTCCGCATCACTGTAGATGTGTATTCTAGAATTGCTCCCCATATCTTTTCTTTTTTTCCCTACGTATTTCCTGGTAGTTAGGCTATTTCAGCTTCGCGCGGACAGGAGTATACTTCTTCCATGTATGCCTTCTTGGACACTTGGACGCGTACTGCGATATCAGTCCGATATTTACGGCTGGTAGGACGCATTGTAAGCCCGCATGTATAGGTACCACGATCTTGCCTGCTTTTGACAAGAAATAGTCGTGCATTTCGGCATAAAGTGTGGGAAAGCCTTTATCAATACAATTAAAACTACGACCTCATGTCTTAGGGCGGATAGCGGCATTTATGTTGTTATACATCTATGGGGTCGGTAGCCATCTTAGACCTATCAGGGCGTCAGATGATTTACCCATCTACGCAATAAAAATAAAAACTTTCACACGATCAGCGCCTTCTTTATCACGCTTACCTTATATAAGTACATTCGAAACGACTAGACTGTCACCATTTTTCCTTTTTGTTACTAGCTAACTGGTAGAAAAGAAACGCACGTACTTTTTACTGTCAATAAAAAAGCATGTACCAATTTTCCATAAAGCTCAAATCAATCCAAATCATAATTGTCTCTTAATCAGGACGTCTGTTCTTCTTTTCAATATGCTAAATACTTGACAGAGCTAACAAAGTACACTAACAAATATTCACTAGAATTTTCAATGACACAGGACATCCACACTACGGTTGGGGGGCATTTCCCCCACCCCTGCACGGATATCCTCCTGGACCCCCACATATGTATCCCCCTGGCCCTCCTCATATGTATCCTCCGGGTATATTTTACCCACCATACATACACCCCGGGGCTGACCCCGTGCAAGTGGTAGATGAATCCGAAGCGATCCCGGAATTACCGGGAGAAACCGTGGAGCTACCTTGGAGTAAGTCTGGAGATGAATGGGATTGAGATTTTGTTTTAAAGATGACACCTTTGTCTAAATTAATTTTAGCGGTTCGTTCGCCGATAGAGAAATCTAGTTTAAAAAAACAAATACTGGATTTAAATACAGAATTTAATAAAGGTTTTTATTTAAAACGATAAAGCGTAACCAAATAAAATACTATTATTGCAAATTCAATGATTGTTACTTCAAATGTGAAAATTCGTTGAACATTTCAATGTTTCATTCTGTTAATAAATTTGGTTTATAAAATTTTGACCTTACATTTGTAAAATCAGACCATACCAACAGGAACGTGTTATCTGGTCTTGCTATTTGTAACGTTCGCCAATGTTGGGCCAATCCTCTCTATGGATCGCGATGTTCTCTCCAGACTCTCCTGGTTCCGTAGTAAGATTAGCAGCATCTGCGCTTAATAACAATCCAAAAACTACCCAAATAAAACCATAAAGAGTTTTGGCCGGCACTTGATGTGCTCTCGCTATTTCGATAGCGCGTTTCAATAAAGTAATTAATGTTGCCGCTAATCTTCTAGAATGATCCTTGTGACTTAGACCAAAATTTACTTCCACTGAAGTTAATAAAGGTCAATGTTTACTACTAATACTATGACGGTTATTAGTTTGTAATAGGTTTAATGTTTTATGGGATTTTATGACATGGTAACTAAAACCTTTAGATCATGTCTTATTTTAATTTATATTCTTATTTTTATGAAAAATATTATATGGGGGTGAAATGAAATGAAATGAAGATGATTAATTTGAGACATTAATCAACTGGAATAAAATGAAATGAAATGAGATAAGATGATATGGAATTAAATCTCAGTAAAATGGCGGTCATTTACTGAGATTATTATTTATTATTTAATATATATTTATTATAACTTATTTATTCCTCTATTAATAGAGGACCATAAAAATCATAAAAATACATAAAAACCATAAAAATCAATCCTGAGCGTTTACTGTACAATTAGTTTGCGAGCACCTTGAATTTCGATTGCATTGATTGCATCTGTTTTGCGCATTATTTCACTTTTTTGTAATTTGGTGTTAATATTATGGACATATAATAAATTATCGATTAAAATGAAGCATCTAATTCCGTTGGATGCAGGTGGCAATGGACCGATCGCACTGGAAATCTATTGGAGAGGCCTATGTTCAGCAGTGGACGGCGATAGGCTGAAATGATGATGATGATGATCTAATTCCGAATCGAAAACCGAAAAAGATGATTCGATAACTTTTACTGCTTCCAAAAATAGGAATCACTTCAGAGAGTTACTTCAGGGAATTGGCTAATCAAAAACAATCCCATGAATTGCTTATCTCCAAACAAAGACACATGTTGGAATACTAATATATCACTAAAACCATTTCAGGCACATATCGTTGGGTTCCTGCTTGCTTAAATCAAGGCAGCATTCCACCAGGTGCCCTCAGAGTCGGTACCGATGCCGATGGAGACGAAATCTACGCTGGAAGAGCTCCTCACGAGGGTGAAATTGTTCCCGCCAAGGTTATTCCGAACAAGAACGTTTGCTTTATATCGTTCTGCGGCGAGGAAATTTTAAAGGACCAGTTTGAGGTAAGAAGTATTGAAATTGCTAGTATCTTCTACTATTTCTCCATTAGCCAAAGTGAGTAATATCAATTAAAAAAAAGTCAATTTATACCGAATAAGTTTACTTGCTGGTACGTCAAATACGAAATATTTTTGGGCATCAGCTTCGATCAAAATATTAACCAGACCTACATCACGCTATGGAAAGTCCTTTAATAAACATTACAAAAGACTTTTTCTTTGTAGTAGTGCACAAAAATTCGGTTTTGTTTTAAGCTACTCGCGCCAGATCCCGAGCGATGGAATAGGTAATTCCATCGCTCCATATATCAGAATACCGCCATTTTCCGACGCGAAGTCTTTCTTGAAGTAAGTTATTCATGTTGTCGTTCTGTTTTGTTTTTGTCCAGGTGCTTGTTCCGACTTTCTTCGCTTGGCAGTTTGCCTCGAACGGTGAACTTCCCCCTGGTGCAGTGAACTTTGGTGTCACAGCCGATGGTGAGAGACTCTACTACGGTAGGGTCACTCGCGATGGACTGACGACGCCTGGCAAGGTAATCCCATCATTCTTCAGTTACAACCCATTCGGTTAGAGCCAGCTTATGGGTACCTATCAGTTTTAATCGTGGTTCATAGAATTCCTTTCAATTCGCTTGGTATTGTTTGTGCTTTATTGGCCAAAAGCTTTATAGTTTTGCCTAGCTATCTGCTCATAGCCTTGAGGAGTTATCCTGGCTTCGACTTGGTTGGTGCCTGAGTTTACGGGGCTTAGCATGAAAGGGTTTGTTAACATATGTCCTATTAAGAAGGCTTATCTGAATCTATCACCAGGTTTGAATGCGGAGAATACTCGGCGGTAGGCAGGGCCATGGCTGTGCTCCTGGCATGTTGATGTCCATGAGTGACGGTATCCACTCACCATAAGGTGGCTCATCAACCTCAAAGCTCCATCTACTAACAATGCACAAAAAAGAGTACGTGCGTGTATTCGTACGTGCGTTTTCGTTTCTTTAGTACAAAAGCATATTTTTTGACGTGACAACGTCTTATAATTCGATGGAGCCGGCTGCACGCACGAAAAAACATGACTCATTGAGGCGTTCCATTTAAGGCTTGAAGTGCAAGCGAGAGCGCGCAACGAGCGACAAAGAGGCACAATCGGCCTCCGCGTTCGGCAGCGTTCGACATCTGTCTCTCTCCTACTTGAGTGAGCGATGCATCCGCGTGGACAGCAGCTATACAATATTACATTTACATGTATGAAGTTCCGTGAAAAGTGAATGTGGTGTCAATTGTCCATACAAAATATCTATCAAACAAATAAAATTAAAATTTTCTTTTGAAAAATGAAACCATTCCATCAGTATTTTCTTATGACGTTGTCACGTTCAAGTATCATCGTCAGTAAGCCGACTTTACAGACAACCGATTTTTTATCTTCATTTTTCAGATTCAACCTTCGCATGGTTGCTGTTATTTTCCCCTCGATGGCGGAGAACAGAGCTCCACTGAATATGAATGTTTGGTGCTTATATAAAATCTATAATCGAAACTTTTAATTTCTTTAAACAAATAACCGTTTGATAAATACCGTAAGTGAATTACATTCGCTTAAAAAAGTTAAAATTACTTTTTCTTTTTAATGCTTTTGAAAATAAGTATGTGATGATGATATGTATAACTGCAGCCTTCTAATATGTTATTTATGTAAATTATTAATTGAAAATATTAGCTGTTTAATTAAATATTGTATTTACTTTTGTTGATGTTTAATCAAAGATATTTAAAATATAATTTTAATTGAGCGTTGTTTTTTTTTTATTTTTAATAATTGCTTTTCCTCCCCGGCGACGAATGTTTTAAAGTATTATACAAAAAATGAATTTAGTTCATTCATTAATGCAATTTGTTTATATTATCTTAAAAACAATTCAGTATGTTAAATAATATTATAACAAACATATTCATTTTTATAAAAATGTCCCCTTATGCGGCCATTTAGCGTAGAATTAAATATATAAATAACTAGCTGACTCGGCAGACTTCGTAGTGCCTCTATCGATAAATAAAAGACCTAAACTTTTGTATAAAATAATCATAGAAAAACCCGTCTGACGGGGGACACATCATAAGAAAAACAAAATTGTTATTTTTATTTAATTCCAAGCATTTTCATATTTATCTACCTTTTAAACCTTCTCTGGACTTCCACAAATAATTCAAGACCAAAATTAGCCAAATCGGTCCAGTCGTTCTCGAGTTTTAGCGAGACTAACGAACAGCAATTCATTTTTATATATACAGCTTTAAAAAACCGCACCTAACCTTCACCAAAGCAGAATTCTTCTCTACTATCTGAAATCACCGCGCTCGTGTGACGAATCTTTTTTCATGTCATTTTTAAAGCAAATGTGGCTTTTAGAATCCCCTCCGCAACCTGCTCCGAGTTATATTACATGTCCTTCTTTAAATAAAATAAAACAAACACAAGCCTGTTGTGCCGATGAGTAGGTTATATAAGATACGAAATTCATTCGGGTGTTTGTCTGTGCACCTGTACAACAAAATCCCACAAGATGTTCAGAACCTACATATACATAGGTTTAAGAATGTTATAATACTCATGTAAAAATGAATATTTAAAAAAAATCTAATATTTAAAATATAATCTAATATTTAAAAAAAAAAGAATTGCTCGCTGAGTTTCTTGCCAATTCTTCTCAGGACGGAGGCTAGTTCTTGTGAATTGGCGGTAGTTCTTTTGACGTTCAACAAGTATGTACTTTCATTTATGTTGAATAAAATTTTTTTGATTTGATTTGATTTAAATGTTATTTGGGGACAAGACAAGACAAAGACAGCTAAATGAAAAGCCATAAGAATAAAACGAAATGTTAAATAAAAATACCTTGATAACAACCAGCGGGTCTTTGGAGAGTAAAATCAAATTGTGTTTTTTTTTGTTTAAGCGAGCCTTTACTACACTAATTTACATTCACGGAGTAGAATTGGCATGAAATTCAGGCTTTTTAATTCTTATATTTCTATCACTGCTTAATTCAAGGTGGGTCATTTACGTTGCTGAGTTCATTAACCAGTTTAAGTGATAAAAAAACTTTTGACATTTATCTTCCAATCTACTTTTTTTTCGTATAGCTCTTTACATTGCAGTCAGTTTTCTGTGCCGATAAAATAGGCCTTCACATTGAAAAAATCGCGCAACTTTTTTCTAACCTACCTATTCTAGTCACCTCGACTAATATCCTCATTGACGTATCGATTTATGACAAATACGTTTACCAAGAATTTTTTGAACAAATAATTCAGCATTAGCTATATCATTAACCCGCTTCTAATTGGTGAAAAGGAATTGATAAGACTGAAGGTACACGACACGCACCTCGCGTTATCTGTGCTGCGAAAATGATTCATTTCGTAATAAATATACAAGCTTCAGTTTTCATTTGGTAGTTGAAGATAAGCGACGCCACAACCGACATGCCAGGTAAGTCGTTTTATCAATAATTCAAAGGCAACAAAACGGTTTTTGGTAAATTTAGATACGATACGAAATATGACTTTAAATTTTGGGCCGATAACGAAAATTGTATAATAGCATCTACACGTAAACGAAACATAGATAATTATAAAATCAATTTTAGAATTTCAGCGAAATTAGTGTTTTTTTCTTAATTCAATCAGTCTTATCGGGCAACATTTGTATAGTTCTAAAATGACGTGGAAAAACGAATTTCTCATAAAATTTGACGAATGTGCTATTGAGGTTTAAAAGAAAAACTAGAAACTTAATTATAAAATGGAGTACTCTATAAGTGTGGTTTTAAATCGTTATATTTGTTCTACATCAATATAGTAGAATTTTCACGATAATAACGTTTCTATATCTTCACCTGAACAAATAATAAATTAATTGACGTTGGCTATAAGAAAAGTAATATTTGTATTCTTAAAATATTTCCAATTTGTGTATCTTTAATATACGCGTTTGGATTGCTAGTGACCGAAATATCTAGAAAGAGGTGAACGCTCACATTTATCTGTGCACATAGTAAGTCGTGTACTCGTTTTGTGATGTAAATCTCGTACCATCACGCGTTTACAGGTGCTAATACTGAAACAATGAATTGTCTTTGTCTTGTTTATGCCTCATGCAATAATTTCTTTGAATATTAAAAATTCTTTTTTCTTTGTCTCAACCGAAATATGAAATAAAAAGCATTATTAAGATGTGCTTGTATGAGAGCCTTTGTGACGAACCTTATGAGGAGTATATGTATAGCCGACTCATTGACGTTTTTACGATACGTTGGACGGGTCTTCTTCATTTTGTCATTATTGGTGTACTCTTTTCCATTGTATAGTTTGATTTTGCGTTCAGTATAATAATCAGTAACTTTAACTCTCCACCGTGTCGCTTAGAATGATAATCTGGACGGTGACTTGTGAAAGATTTGACTAATAAGATGATTTAAGAAAAATATTTACTAGTGCGGAACATTGATGCAAAATTACAAATGAAAGATTAAAAGTCAGTTTATAATTAATCACCGGACAAAATATTGGTGTGGAACGTATGTGCCGCATAATAAATTTGCCTGTGCTTAGCTTATTTAAGTATTTTGGTTAATTGCTCAACCATCTCGGATTGCAGGAATGAATTCAAAACTAAAAGCAAATACTTCATCGAGCTGGAAATATCCAGAAGAATTTCATTGTGTGATTATTTATTTCAAAATAATGTACAATGTACATGTAGAATGAGTCATTTACTTTAGGTATAATCTAGCTGGCATTTTCAAATACTTATCAATTGGCCTCACTTTTCTGATGATAAAAGTAGATAGCATTAAGTTTTTTTTTCTTTCGTCTACATGAAATATATCGAAACAAACATTATTTAATTTTAACCGCTTATCTTGCACGAAAAAAATATTTTTCAATCGAAATTTCTGATTAGTGATAAATTAGTTGCTATTCTGTATTTTTTTTTTTAGGGAATAATGTGTTGTGTAACGATAAATGTAAAGACACGATTACGATAAATAAAGATTAGCGCGTTTATTATTTATCGTTTCCTTGAATAGAAACAGATAGATGGGACTTTAAGAATCCGATATACCTACTTGTTTGAATTATATTTTCGATTTCTTCTCTGTTCAATTCTATAAATATCACCACCATATAGAAAGTGGATTTTAGACTAAAACGGCGTTATTGCGCATCACCTGAAACAGTCAAACTAATTAATGACCTATGATTTTGACAGGTCACATAAGACTGACGTGAGCTATATTTGTTTGATGTTATATAAACATATTACTGTACAGGACAGTATTACGGTTGGGGAGCGCCCCCTCCTCCCCCACACGGGTTTCCTCCACCTCCACTTGGTCCTCCCCATGGTCCTCCCCATGGACCCCCGCACATGTACCCTCCTGGTGCCATCGTTTACTACCCAATGCATCCGGGGTATTTTTATCCACCACCTCCCGGGGCGGATTCTGTGGAAGTGGTGGAGGAAGCCGAAGCGGTCCCGGAATTACCGGGAGAGACCGTCGAGCTACCTTGGAGTAAGTCTGGAGATGAATCGAGTTAAATTAGAATATGTTTTTATCTAAGAGATAACACCTTCCACTTATGTATGTGCCAAGTGCATAAATCAGTTAGGACATGATTTCACCAATATTATTACTTATACAGCTTATAATGATATTGCTGGTATAGAATACCAGTTTAAAGTTTAAAAAAAATTACTAATTTATTAAGAACTGACTTTTATTCAAGCATTCTTTTTGTATTTGCAAGAGAATGAAGTGACTTTGTAATCCAATCCAAAACCAACACACAAATGACACACGCTTTATAATCTTTAGACCGATACAAAATATTTTTTATTTCATTTATCTTTTACCTCCAAAAAAACAAGTGTTAATGAAATAGCTATATTTCAGTTCCATGACTTTTCATATCATCATTAACCGTATCGATAGATAATTAAGTCAACAGGAAGGTGTTATCTGGTCTTGCTATCTGTAATGTTCGCCAATGTTGGGCCAATCCTCTCTATGGATCGCGATGTTCTCTCCAGACTCTCCTGGTTTCGTAGTAAGATTAGCAACCGCGCTTAATAACAATCCAAATACTACCCAATTATAACCATAAAGAGTTTTGGCCGTCGCTTGATGTGTTGTCGGTATTTTGATAGCGTCTTATGATGTGATTACGCTGTTGCTAATTTACTAGAATCTTTATTGGGATATTTAATTTATTGGCATTTTTAAGTCCTCAAAACACAAATCAAAATTTTCTAGTCTTTAATACTTCTGAATTAGCTAAATGTTAGCTAATCAGCTTAGTAATCTAAGCTAAGTAAGTTAGTCATTATTATAATAAGGTAGGTTAGTAGTTAAATGATTTTACGCTTGGAATTGTGAAGTGGACTTGACTGTTAACTAATATTGGAGCCTATCTTTGGATTCGAGATTTAAGTCCCAATTTTATTGGTATCACAGCTGTTCCGACTTTTCAATGATAAGTGTGATGGCTTCGCAGCCTAGGTACATATTTAATACCAGTCCGGACTACAATACACCTCACCAATAACATGGAAGTAAATAATTTATAAACACAAAAATTGTCAACATTGAAAAAATATGTAGCAGCAAACCAGATTTCTTTTTTAATGTTCCCAACGAAATATCGGGATAGATGGTCATCAAGTAGAGGTTTAGCTAACAAATCTCCAGTAGCAGTAGAAATGGGTCAGAATCGTATTGTAATTACAATGTAATGTCTCAATAATCTTCTTTCATTTCAGGCACATATCGCTGGGTCCCCGCTTGCTTAAGCCAACGCAGCATTCCACCAGGTGCCCTCAGAGTCGGTACCGATGCTGACGGTGATGAGATCTACGCGGGAAGAGCTCACCACGAAGGTGACATCGTTCCGGCCAAAGTCATTCCGACCAAAAACGCGTGTTATATTTCTTTCGGTGGTGAAGAGGTTCTAAAAGACCAGTTTGAGGTATGTTATAATCGAATTATAATAGGGGACGGAAGCTAATGTAGTGTCAGTATTTATCAATGTTGTATTTACCAAATTATATTTTCTTCCCACTCTGACGAAATAGAAATCTTTGTGAGCTTTTTAGAGTGTTTAGGAATCAGTCGCCTGTGTGTGTGTTAATCAATCCACACACATAAGACATTTACACTAAAGTTTAGATTTTCAAATATAAAAAAGATTAAAAATTAAATTTTACTCGTTTGTCTGTATTTTCATAAAGAAATGACCCCTGGGAACGACTTTACACATTGTGCCAGATAGTCTTGTATACTTAAAAACAAAATTTTTATGTGAAATACAAACATTGGCGAATATATCGTCAGTTCTACAAAAACTCTAATTATGATTATTTTTTTATTGCTTACATGGGTGGACGAGCTCACAGCCCACCTGGTGTTAAGTGGTTACTGGAGCCCATAGACATCTACAACGTAAATGCGCCATCCACCTTGAGATATAAGTTCTAAGGTCTTAGTATAGTTACAACGGCTGCCCCACCCTTTAAACCGAAACGCATTACTTCTTCACGGCAGAAACAGGCAGGGTGGTGGCACCTACCCGTGCGGACTCACAAGAGGTCCTACCACCAGTAATTACGCAAATTATAATTGTCGGGTTTGATTTTTATTATACGATGTTATTCCGTCACCGTGGAAGTCAATCATGAACATTTGTTAAGTACGTATTTCATTAGAAAAATTGGTACCCGCTTGCGGGATTCGAACACCGTTGCATCGCTAAATACGAATGCATCGGACGTCTTATCCTTTAAGCCAAGACGACTTTTAAAATGAATTCATGAAATTCATGATTTATTTAAATCTTCAAAGTTCTTAACACAAACGATTGACATTTGCAGTCTCCCATATTTCTATCGCTGCTTTCAGGTACTAGTACCATCCATGTTCGCCTGGCAGTTCTCGACGAATGGCGAAGTTCCGCCCGGTGCTGTCGAGGCTGGCTCCACAGCTGACGGGGAGAAGCTTTACTTCGGCCGGGTCAATCATGACGGATGCACTACGCCCGGCAAGGTTCGTGGTTTTATACTCCAGTTAATGTTTTCCGTTTAACCGTATTTATGGGTTACGTAGGCAGCGGCTTGGCTCTGCGCCTCGCATTGCTGGAGTCCATGGGTGACGGTAACCACTGACCATCAGGTGGGCCGTATACTCGTCTGCCTACACGGGCAATAATTAAAAAAAACGTGATTAAAAAAGTTTATATACATGATAAATTTAGTCTTTAATGGTGGTAGGACCTCATGCGAGTCCGCACGGGTAGCTACCACCACCGCGCCTATTTCTGCCGTGAAGCAGTAATGCGTTTCGGCTTGAAGGGTGGGGCAGCCGTTGTAACTACACTGAGTTCTTAGAACTTATATCTCAAGGTGGGTGACGCATTTACGTTGTAGATGTCCATGGGCTCCAGTAACCACTTAACACTAGGTAGGCTGTGAGCTCGTCCACCCATCTAAGCAATAAAAAAAAATAAAAAAACTCGTTACACTGTCTTAATTTTGCTAGGTTTCAACTTTATTGCATAACTAGCGGCCCGCTCCGGCTCCGCTCGGGTCTTTAACAAAAATTTCAACGATATTTGACGTTGTTTTATTAAAAAAAATAAAAGAACACTTATTGCGGCATAACTGTAATAGTTAGACATATGCTGTCGCGACACTTTTTGTAAATAATAATGTGTTCTACAAAGTCGTACTACATTATTTTATTCTATCATGAATAGTTTTGTCAGGGCACGCAATATAAAGAATATTTTAGGTAATTTTTTTATACCTTGGGTTACATTATTGGAGTTTTAGTAAGGATCCCTATATTTTTTTTCAAAAAAGATTTTAGCCTATGTCACTCGGGAATAGTGTAGCTTCTAAACAGTGGAAGAATTTTTTAAATCGGTTCACTACTTTCGGAGCCTATTCAATACAAACAAACAAACAAATCTTTCCTCTTTATAATATTAGTATACCTAGTCAGGTCATAAATTCTGTCACATGTTTAATGTAAAATAATTGAAACAAGTTTATTCATTATGTAACCATTCATATACCAAAATGAACTTAACAAAACATAGATTCTTATGACACTAAAGTTTATTCAAAATGACCTCCGTGATTTGGAATACAGGCCTTCAATCGAAATTCGAATTCAATAAACTTTTTTGTGGCCAGCATTCTAAAAGAAAAGTTTTTACTGTGTGACAATACTTATGACCTGACTAGGTATAGTATAGATTTTCGGTGCTATTGATTTTTCTATCATGATTATTTAGTTTTAATTTGATTCCAGATCCACCCGTCACACGAATGTTGCTATTACCCGTTTGATGGCGAAGAAAGGAGCTCTGCCGAATATGAATGCCTGGTACTAATGTAGAAAATGTTATCTAAAAACGACTTTGGAAATTCACTTAAATTAGCTCAATTATTTAATGCATTATACCTTAAACACCTACGTAGTTTTTTGTTTTTTTTTTTGTTTAAAGTTTATCAGAAAAAGGGATTTTAATTTGTCATTTATCATCAAATCTATTAGGATTACTTCGTGTGAATTAGCTTTGTGATATGACATATTTTATGTAGTTAAATTGTTTTTAAGACATTTATATATAATATCGAAGCTTAGATACTATTTTGACCTAGAGATTGTACAGTTTTGAGATATAGTCGTGAATTTAATGTATTTTGAATAAAGTTTTTTTTTTAATAATAACGTTTTATTTTTATCTATATTGTGTACCAACATTTCTTTATTAAATAACTAACTAACCCGGCAGACTTTGTAGTGCCTCAATGGATAAATAAAAGACCTAAACTTTTGTATAAAATAAACTTAAATATTTAATTCCTAGAATTTGCATAATTATCTACCTTTTAAACCTTCTCTGGACTTCCACAAATAATTCAAGACCAAAATTAGCCAAATCGGTGCAGCCGTTTTCGAGTTTTAGCGAAACAAACGAACAGCAATTCATTTATATACTTATATATAGATATAGATGAAAACAATGGTTTTATTATTAGAAGTGCTGCTTCGTCGATAGTGAAAAACAAATAATGTATCTTTAAGTATTATGTAGAAAAATGATGTAACAGGACAGATAGCTCAATAGAGCTCACGAAGAACCTGTTATGAATTTCAATGAACAATGAACAACCTGACGCAGCTCCATAAGCTTCCAAAAGGTAAGCTAACAGAAAAACTTTACTGGTGGTAGGACCTTTTGTGAGTCTGCGCGGGTAGGTACCACCACCCTGTCTATTTCTGCCGTGAAGCAGTAATGCGTTTCGGTTTGAAGGGTGGGGCAGCCGTTGTAACTATACTTGAGACTTTAGAACTTATATCTCAAGGTGGGTGGCGCATTTACGTTGTAGATGTCTATGGGCTCCAGTAACCACTTAACACCACGTGGGCTGTGAGCTCGTCCACTCATCTAAGCAATAAATAAAAAAAGGTGGGTGGCGCATTTACGTTGTAGATGTCTATGGGCTCCAGTAACCACTTAACACCAGGTGGGCTGTGAGCTCGTCAACCAATCTAAGCAATAAAAAAAAATGTGTGCGTGTACTAGTGTACACACGTAAGAAGTGAAACTTATTTATGGCCTTATTTTTCGAAAAATGATCTACATGCAACTTTCTAGAAATTGGTTAAATAAAGTTAAATTAGATAAAGTTTAAACAAAAGGATTTTATTATCATAGACATGAATACAAAAAAGTTAAATTAGATAAAGTTTAAACAAAAGGATTTTATTATCATAGACATGAATACAAAAAAGTTAAATTAGATAAAGTTTAAACAAAAGGATTTTATTATCATAGACATGAATACAAAACAGATGGCGCGTAACGGAAAAATGTGACGCGTAACCGAAAAATGTGACGGTAAATTTTTTTCCAACGCCGATAAGGAAGTTTCACTTCAAAAAAACATTTAACTTAAAAGCACTGATCATCTATCGAAAGATACAATAATTTACGTCCTATTAAGTTTTTTGTATAATTCTGTACACCTCGGTCTGCCGGAAGATATGGTAAAGGGTAATACTGAATTATTTATGCAGCGTCTTCCATTCAAACCCGTTCGTTGGCTTCATTACCTCACAAGGCAAAAAGGGCTCCATCCAAATTACATAACATACGCATTGCAACATGCCGTTATCATTTTGTTGAACAACTTGCTTGCATATTCAGGTTATGAAGGCCCTTGTAAAAGGCACTTGTTGATTATAAATTATTGTTGCGTATTGCAAAACTTTACGTACAGTGCCCATCGATAAATACCGCACATCGATTGACCTTTGGATAGAGAAAGTCGGCTAATTTCGACCTCGTAGAGCGCTATCTCTGTCGCACATTATATTTGTGACATTTATCACTCGTTATTTTTTTTATTGTCCGTGTAGGCCGACGAGTATACCTGACGGTGAGTGGTTACCGTCGCCCATGGCCTTCAACAATGCCAGGGGCAGAGCCAAGCCGCGGCCTACCGAGAAGGACAAGGACTGTACAAGTGCCTAACTATGGGTGGACGAGCTCACAGCCCACCTGGTGTTAAGTGGTTATTGGAGCCCATAGACATCCACAAAGTAAATGCGCCACCCACCTTGAGATATAAGTTCTAAGGTTTCAAGTATAGTTACAACGGCTGCCCCACCCTTCAAACCGAATCGCATTACTGCTTCACGGCAGAAATAGGCAGGGTGGTGGTACCTACCCGCGCGGACTCACAAGAGGTCCTGTAATTACGCAAATTATAATTTTGCGGGTTTCATTTTTATTACACGATGTTATTCCTTCACCGTGGAAATCAATCGTGAACATTTGTTAAGTACGTATTTCATTAGAAAAATTGGTACCCACCCGTCTGAGATCCGAACACCGTTGCATCGCTTAACACGAATGCACCGGACGTCTTATCCGTTAGGCCACGACGACTTCAAATTTAGATATGGTTGTTGTTTGAAATACAAACAAAATCAGTTGAGCAGTGGAACCGTTCCAATTGATTAGTCATATATATTCACAAGAGGTTTCAAATGTAATCAAAAATCTTGAAAAATCAAATCTTGCATTTATTATTTTCATTTTATCATATACGATTGTTCAATTACTATTGGGTTGTTCGGAAAGTAAGTTTGTTTTTTTTGTGAAAATGAACACATACATCGAGCTTCAGTGGTCATAAACTGTTGAATTTGATAAATTTAACCTCAATCCGATCTCACGTGTTGTTATTCGTCGGGTCGCAGCAACTAATGCCTTTGTCGCGTCTTTATCAGCTTCAACCGGCCTTCCAGAACGTGGTGCATCTTCGACATCAAAATTGCCGGATCGAAATCTAGCGAACCAGTTCTGGCACTGGCGTACTGTCAACGCACCTTCTCCACACACATCGGTTAATTTCTTTCTGGCTTGAGCACCATTTTTACCCTTTCCTGTAGTGAAACAGTAAGATATGTCGAAAATGCTGCTTATCCCTCTCCATATTTAAAAGGGCACCAACAAAAAACTACTGGGTAGAATTAATTGGAGTTTTTCACACATAAGCCTTGATATATAAGCTCTCAAAGCATATATAAATTATACGGCTTAAACGCTTACAGAAGTTGGGTGCAAAAAAAAACAATTAAATCCTCTGTCGGGAAAAAAGGAAATTACTTTCCGAACCATCTATTATTATTGTATAGTTTTTTTTTATTTTTTTTTTTTTTTATTGCTTAGATGGGTGGACGAGCTCACAGCCCACCTGGTGTTAAGTGGTTACTGGAGCCCATAGACATCTACAACGTAAATGCGCCACCCACCTTGAGATATAAGTTCTAAGGTCTCAGTATAGTTACAACGGCTACCCTACCCTTCAAACCGAAACGCATTACTGCTTCACGGCAGAAATAGGCAGGGCGGTGGTACCTACCCGTGCGGACTCACAATAGGTCCTACCACCAGTGGTTACGCAAATTATAATTTTGCGGGTTTGATTTTTATTACACGATGTTATTCCTTCACCGTGGAAGTCAATCGTGAACATTTGTTAAGTACGTATTTCATTCGAAAAATTGNCGGCAGAAATAGGCAGGGCGGTGGTACCTACCCGTGCGGACTCACAATAGGTCCTACCACCAGTGGTTACGCAAATTATAATTTTGCGGGTTTGATTTTTATTACACGATGTTATTCCTTCACCGTGGAAGTCAATCGTGAACATTTGTTAAGTACGTATTTCATTCGAAAAATTGGTACCCGCCCGCGGGATTCGAACACTGGTGCATCGCAACAACGAATGCACCGGACGTCTTATCCTTAAGGCCACGACGACTTCAAAGTACAGTTAAGGCTTCGTTCGTGACCACGAAAACTGTTAACGCCTCAATCGTCCGTGACCACGAAAACTGTAAAGCCTAAAGTAGTTTTAATTATGCCTACGCTACGGCTCGCGAGAACCGGCCAAAGTTTTCAAAATAATTATTGCAGTCATAACTAAAATGTACTAGAAAATCTTGAGCACACTGCGTTCTCATCATGATTCGAGTCACAACAGTTCGTCAATATTCGTCATTAAGTCGCTGTGTGCCAAATGCGGTAGACGCGTCTCTAGTAAACAACATTCCACCGGACGCATAGTCCTTATTGAAATAATTCGATTTGAAATTCGTGTGGAACAAAATCGACAATGAAAGTGCTTTTCTTATTTATTGTTTGTAAGTATCAAAATACTATACCACATATTTCTCATCAGCTTGTATTAAAACATTATAAATAGGCTTGAAGTTCTAAAATCTGTTTCATATTTTATTACCAATGTTAAAAACCTAAGCGTGGCGTTGTATCATCAAGTAAATACAGTGTTATCATTATACTATTATATAGTATTTCCTTATTAGATTTCTGATAAAAATATTTCTTTTAATTTCATCTCGAGTTTGTTTATCCATTTTTAAATTTTCGACCTTACAAATGTTTTTTAATGTTGTAAAAGTTGTCGCTATTAAAATAATATATATGTATTTGCATAGCCTAGTATAGTCTATGAAAATGTTTTCGATACGTCTATATAGTATCTCAGATATGTTTATTTAGATTTATCTCAAGAACTAACACATATTGATTTCATTGTGGTGATGAAATACGATAGATCATATATTATTAAGTATTATAATATTGTTGGGAAGCCAATTCGTGTTATACATTGCACGCGATTAAAATTAAAATTCTATACCTACAATGCCGCGATAATATTGTTTTTAAATTTGCATAGATATATTGAAACAAATATACTATAGGTTTTAATAAGTAATTCAATGTACGGTGGTTTTGTAATTAGATAAATTGTACCTGTAAATTCTCGATACGTATTTTGAATCAAACACAAAGTAAATGTTATAAGTAAATTAACATAGTAACTGACCTCATTTATTCTGCAGGTTCATATCATTAAATTTCAAAATAGTACCCGCATATGCATCAAAACTAACAACTGTCGAAATACCAAGCTGTTGAAATACACGTTAGGTAGCTTTTGAGTTTGGAATAAACTTTTTTTTTTTTTTATTGCCTTTGTAGGCAGACGGGCATACGGCCCACCTGACGGTGAGTGGTTACCGTCGCCCATGGACTTCAGCAAAGCCAGGGGCAGAGCCAAGCCGCTGCCTACCGATCAACTTGCAAATCTAACACTTATTGCTTAAAATTTGTGGACTATACACTATATAGAAATTGGCCGCTGTGTTTTGATAATGCAGAGCTCATAGTTGGCTTTATCAGAAGGCTCAAACTCACCCAAAAAACAATGGAGAGGATTACACGGAGATTCCCTGCGTGATTTAATCATTAATAGATTCGTAGGAGAAACATGGTAACCGACATAGCCCGAAGGATTGCGAGGTTATAGTGGCAGTGGGCAACGCATATTGCGCTAAAGCTAAAGAGCTCTCGTGTGACTACCAAGCATCAGAAAGGAGAATGGGTAGCCACAAGTTAGATCGACTTGTAAAAGGTCGCGAGAACCCAATGGATGCAAACAGCGCAGACGGTTTCACTCTGGCTAATCTTTAGGAAGACCTATCTCCAGCACTGGACTTCTGTAGGTTGATAATGGACTATGTTGGGATTTAAATCCTTAATTAAGGCTATAAGGCCTTAAGGACTTAAGGCCAATTCTATTTTTCAAATAATTAGACCGAATCTAACACGTATCCCCGAACGACTTCAAAACTGAGGAAATAACATTGTCTAACATACAGCCCAGTGGGACCTCCCACATATAGGTAAACTTGACATATAGATTGCCTCTGGTTCGAAACCGAATTTTAAAGGGTGGGGCTTACTAAGAAACAATTGTGAGTTTGATTTCACGTGTTTGTTCAAGGATGGTATCGTGATGTCTGTCATCATCAACATCATCAGCCTTTATCTGCCCACTGCTGAACATAGGCCTTCCCCAATGCCTTCCACATAATGCGGTCCTCCGCCTTCCGCATCCAACGACTTCCCGCCGTGCGCACTAAGTCGTCAGTCCACCTGGTTGGAGGACGCCCCACGCTCCTGGTACCCATCCGTGGCCTCCATTCGAGGACTTTCCTCCCCCACCTGGCGTCGCTGGCTCGACAGGTGTGACCGGCCCGTTGCCACTTCAGCCTGCTAACTTTGAGAGCTATGTCGTCGACTTTGGTTCTCCGTCGAATTTCTTCGTTGCGGATTTTGTTAGAGAAATACCGAGCATAGCTCTCTCCATCGCCCGCTGTGCGACTCTTAACTTATGGTGATGTCTGTGAAATTCTCTAATAAGCTAATACCAGGATACTACTCGTTTATTTAACTACAGCATACAAATAATTTCTTACAGTATTCGTCGCGGTATCTTCGGACATGGCGGGCGAATGTAACATGTCAGCTTTTTACTTGGAGCTCGGCTGTACTCCTATCCCGAGCGTGGACAACACGACAATATGCCCAGACGCGTTCAAATGTCCAGATCTACATCCAGACCCAACGATGTGTTACTATAGGTAAGTTTTTAGTTAAGTTCAAAATATATTTTGCACTAATATTCTTCTGATTCGGAAACCGTGATTGAGAATGATAAAAACTAAAGCAGCGGTTTTATTGAGTACCCGCGGTGCCGATATAACAATGAATTTTAAACAGCTGACACATTCAAAACTAAATCGATAATTGGCAAATCAAAATATTGTTTTTTTATCAGATTTGCTCCGCGGTTTTGCGCGTAGGTATTTTGTTTCTAAATCATGAATAGAGCACGTTACGCTTTTTCCGAAACAAAGAATCAGATATACTTGGGTCGCGCTCTGATCCTTAGACTACGAATCGATCAGTAAATCCTTCGGTACATAAAATTTGCAGATCAGCGAACACGCTTTTGGGTTTATTACATCTGACCATTTATTATTTACCATTACAAAACGTATCTTATTTGTTAATTCAATAGATTCTCTTTTCGAGTAGCAAACATCCAAACATACAGTTAGTATAGATGACGAATATTTGTAAACAATGGCAGCAGCGACTGATCATCCGTCTCGTTGGTGAGTCATTGCAACCTCGAAGGAATATGACCGAGAGCAAGTTTTTTGCATAAACAAGGAGTTTGGTTACAAAACACGAGGCTTGACCTCCGCGGCGACGGTCAGGATTCAACCTTCGACTGAGTTACGAGAAATGTTGGCTTCTTTTGGTAATTTGTCGAATTTCTTTCGCGCATTAATCCCCTCAGACACAGCCCACTGAGTTTCTCACCGGATTTTCTCAGTGGGTTGCGATTCCGATCGGGTTTTAGGTTCTGCGAAGCACTGCTCTAGCTAGGGCTAGTGTTAGCAAATTCGTTAGAGCTCACCTACTCGCTTGGTGAATCCAGCATGACTCGTTTAGGTCACTTACGGTAGGCAGCGGTAGGGTTCTACCTCAAGCATTGCTGAAGTCTATGGGCGACGGTAACCACTCACCATCAGGTGGGCCGTACTGCCTACACGGGCAATAAAAAAAACTAGAATATATAAAAAAAGCTGATTAATTGGATTTTTTGTTTTCATTTGTTGAGTAATTGAGTCCTGCTTCATTGAACTTCGCCTTTCCAACGCTTTGTTTTCAACGGAGCATTAAATATTACTTTTTTTTTCGGTAAACAAAGCTTATTCACGCAGTACAGTGACCTTGAAAACAAATACTGGTATAATAATAATGAACTAGTAGTGGTCATCAAGTGTTGGAAATTTTAGCATCATTAAGGCTTAATTCACCACTAAGAACTAGAATCATTTTATGTGTTACATTTTATTTTTTGTTTTGCTACTGATTTTGACTATTACCAAAAAAGTTATATTGAAATCTGAAGAAACTGCTCGATACGGTCGACAGGCTTAATGCTTTTTTTTGCCTACCTATGCTAGTAACCTCGAGGGGTTATGTTAGCTTTACTGAACGCTTAGGCGAGCTCAGCCTGACGAATTTGATAGCCCTAGCAAGAGCAGTGCTGCGCTAAGCATCTACGACCGGATCGGAATCGCGACCCGCTTAATAGATCCGACGAGTAACTCAGTGGGCTGTGTCTGCGGGTTAATTTTTACGACGGACCCATCGTCACATTCTACGGGTTCGACAAGAACAATAACCGATGCTTGGAATGCCTAAAAGTTCCAAGCTCGGTTCCAAATGCTGCTGTTTGTAACTTGTATATATCGACGCTTGAAAGGTAAACGTGACTAAGCGACAATAACTGCTTTGTACATAACTGATAGGCAATAACCATATGCGATGAGCAAAAAAAATATATTTCTAAGTCTATTAAAATCATTTCACTCCTACAGCTAGATTCGTTAAAATAGATTTTTTTTCAGATATTTCAACTTTAAATTTGTCTACTGTAAAGTACACGCATTGTCGCTTAGTCACGTTTGCCTTTCAAGCGTCAATATGTGAGTTTATTTTGAAAATGTCGTTAGCGGGATTCAAGCATCTGTCAAAATAACTTGTGTACTATGGATGGATACCGCCATACCCATGTTTCGCAATATTCTTTCGCGTCGGACGAATAGCAAATTTAATGAATTTTATTGTAGGTAGGTACAACACGATTCTGTAACTCAACTGTGGAATTCTTTTCATGAACTGCCTATTCACGTGAGAAGAATAAATGTTACAAATATAGAAGCTTGCTATGCCATGCCTATTTAGATGCAAGCGTGTGTCTTTTAAGAGACGTAATTTATTATTAATTCATGTTTACCAACATGAGCTCGTGCAAATATGGAACCGATGTATTATAACAATAAGGCGATGCAAGCAATAACTGATGTCATAATGGATCGTAATGCTGCTGACTACACGTTTATAAATAAGAACGGAAGTTGTCGTGGCCTAAAGGATAAGACGCCCGATGTAGTTATATTTATACAGTATACTAGCGACCCGCCCTCGCTTCGCTTCGGAAACTGTAATTTATTATTGATTTCTCCACTATTTAATGGATGTTATTATACATATAAACCTTCCTCTTCAATCACTTTATCTATTAAAAAAAAACCGCATCAAATTCCGTTGCGTAGTTTTAAAGATTTAAGCATACATAGAGACAGATATTGGGACAGAGAAAGCGACTTTGTTTTAAGCTATGTAATGATACTACCTGAAAGTATTTAGAGTAATAAAGCCCACTGAGTTTCTCGCCGGATCTTCTCAGTGGGACGCGTTTTCAATCCGGCGTTAGATTCTGCAAGGGACGGCTCTTGCTAGGATTCGTGTTAGCTCATCTACTAGCCCGGTGACGCTGATGTGGTCTCTTTAGACTAGTTTCGACCATCAGCTTAGGTAGAAAAAAAAGGGCAATCATCAGAAATTAAATTTCTGATAAATGAAATTTCTGATTAATGTGTTTTATTTTATTTTACTACGTAGATGATTGGACGAGCTTTCTGCCCACCTGGTATTAATTGTTCATCAGAGCCTATAGACATTAGCAATGTAAATACTGCCAATCAGCTTGCGACATGAGTTCTAAGTGTCATTTTTACAGTACATCACACTTTACATCACATTTTATATCGTATTTACAATAATTACATTCTGAAGTCGTCTTGGCCTAAAGGATAAGACGTCCGGTGCATTAGTATCTAGCGATGCAAGGTGTTCGAATCTCGCTGGTAAGTACTAATTTTTCTAATGAAATACGTACTTAACAAATGTTCACGATTGACTTTCACGGTGAAGGAATAACATTGTGTAATAAAAATCAAACCCGCAAAATTATAATTTGCGTCATTACTGGTGGTAGCACCTCTTGCGATAGACCAGTGCGGACTCATACTTACCACTATTGTAAAACCGTTTTTATTGTCATTATATTTTTTCGAGATCACGGACGCCTAAGGTTTGATTTGCCGACACTTGAATATGTATAGTGCTGAATGCCAACGATTTTTCTATGAAAACAAGTAACTTTTATGTTTCATATGACACAGAACGAACTAACAGTATCTTGACTATCTATCTTACCAAACGGTAGTTTATTTAGATAGTCGATAAGAAAATCCCAGGTGTTAAAAATGTAAATATTTAAATTATTCATAATTGATAGACAGTAACTCAACTGGTTCTAATGTTGCAAATGAATCACGAGAGTCGATGACCAATCACCATCGACCGGACTATAAGTTTATTTACCTTCAAATCGACTTTTTGGCGGGAACGCGAGGAGTGAAGTTGTGTGTTTTGTTTTGTTTTGTCTATTTAGTGTTTCTTCAGGTTTAAATGTGTAATAACGGTGGTTTATTAACCATGTAGTATCTGTGAAAGTGCAAAAAGGTGGGAAAATAAAACAAAGCCGTTGGACGTAACTTCTCGGGATCCTCCAAAAAGTTTACTGAAAAAATCTCAGTAAACGACCACCATTTTACTGAGATTATATTTCATCCCATATCATCTCATCTCATCTCATTTCATTTAACTCCTTAATATCATTTTTCATAAAAATAAGAATATAAATAATTAAAATAAGATTTGACCTAAAGGTCTTGGTTACCAGGTCATAAACTCCCTTAAAAAAAAAACAATCAAATACTCGTAGTTTCTGTATAGATAGTCGAGTGACAGTACCATAGATGTCTTGGACCGACTCACTAGTGCAATAGTCTGCCTGACGAGGGTCGTGGGTTCGATTCCCACATCGGACAAACATTCGTGTGATGAACCGATTTGTTTGCTCTTTGTCTGGGTATTTATTATCTACATATTTAAACGTATAAAAGTATGTAAGCCTGGTACACATAACACAGGGAGTCCTATTTTGGGGCCGGATGACCGTGCGTGATTTGTTCCCAGGTATTTATCTATACCAGTGATTATCAAACTTATTTCTTTTACCGCCCCCTTTGAAAATCAATTACTTTTCAGCGCCCCCCATTTTTTAAACACCCCTAAAACTTTAAAACCACAATTTCATTAATTTAATTAATAAATGTTGTATTAATTTTAGTTAATGTAGTACTACGTAGTACATAATTATGTATTTGTAGATGCTATTATTGTTTCTTCATATTATTATATGTCCGTACATTGCTACAGAGCGTGTATTTACAAATTTGCAAAGTAAAAATGAATTGTTCTCATCAATATGTTTGTTTAAATTCAGAATCACCAAAATAAATTGCTAGTTCACTGTACTATTACTATGCTAATTTATTAGAACGAANCTGATAACTGGTGATGAAAAGTGGATCACGTACGACAAGAACGTACGAGAAAGGTTGTGGTCAAAGGCCGGTCAGGCTTCACAGACTCTGGCGAAACCCGGGTTAACTCGCAACAAGGTGATGCTGTGTGTGTGGTGGGATTGGAAGGGCATTATACATTATGAGCTGTTACCACCAGGCAGGACCATCGATTCTGAACTCAACTACGAACAACTGATGAGATTAAAGCAAGAAGTTGAGAGAAAGCGGCCGGAATTAATCAACAGAAGGTTTTTCATCACGATAACGCTAGACTTCACACATCTTTAGCCACTCAGCAAAAATTAAGAGAGCTTGGCTGGGAGGTGTTAATGCATCCGCCATATAGTTCTGACCTTGCACCTTCAGATTTCTACCTGTTTCGGTCTCTTCAAAATTCTTTAGGCAGTGTCAGGTTAGCATCACGAGAGGACTGCCAAAACCAATTGACGCGGTATTTTGATCAGAAGCCCCAAAATTTCTATAGCAATGGGATCATGTCCCTACCTACAAGATGGCAAAAAGTTATCGAACAAAATGGTACCGACATACTTTAGTTAAATGTGAATAAATTATATTAAAAAATGTTGTGAATTTTCTTAAAATATGCGAAGAAACTTTTTCCCCAACCTATTATTATATTTATAGAAATAAAATAGTAAACAATGTTTACAATAAGTGAGCTGTTTAGGCTTACTATACTATACTATTTGACATTGGACGGTAATGGATAAATTGTAAAAAATAATAATCTAAGACAAGTTTTTGAACAATAATTATATACGCATTTCCATTTTATATAAAAATTATGATTCTTACATCAGTAATTTCTTATAACATGCTAGGAAAATGCTTTAAAATGCCCTTATGTTAAAAACAAGAAAGAAAGAAAGTAAAGAAAACCTCAATTTGTGTTAGTTTACGTATGTGTAATATTTTAAAACTCTGCATGGTAGTTTTTTTTTCTAATGTTTAAAATAATTTCTGGTGCAGTGTAATTAAGGTAAAATTGCTCTAATTTTTTAACTATCATCGATCATGTTCCGCAAAAACTTGTTACAACTTGATTGCGTACGGTGTGTGGGCTATCCTACGAAATCTATGTTAATTATTTTAAGTTTTTATAACATCATACAGGGTAGAAATATAAACTAATTATTCGTTATTGTGTAGTAGGTGAGTTTTAATTTTAGTAAAATTTAAAATACTATAAAGTAAATGAAATTATAAATTTTACAGCGCCCCCCTAACCCACATCAACGCCCCCCATTTTTTCCTGGACCCCTTAACGCCCCCCTCTAGGTTTCAAACGCCCCCCAGGGGGCGTTATCGCCCACTTTGAGAAAGACTGATCTATACCTATATTAATACGTGAAGCAAAAACTTTGTATCCCTTTTTACGAAAATTTCGCGGACGGAGGAGTATGCAATTTTGAGTTTAGCTCCTTTTCGGATTCGATTTTTTTTATTCCTACCTATTCTAGTAACCTCGAGGGGTTATTCTAGATGCACTGAGCTAGTAGGTGAGCTCACGGGACTCAAACCGGGAATGTTGCTAACATTGGCCCTAGCAAGCGCAATGCATCGCAGAATCTACCACCGGATCGGAAACGCGACCCACTGAGAAGATTCGCCGAGAAACTCAGTGGGCTGTGTCTGTGGGTTAATTTACTCGTCGAGCCCTTAGTCGCAAGCGACGGGTTCTTCGAGGACGGTGAATGGTGCTTGAGGTACCTACCTAAAAGCACCGTTAATGGATCGGGAGGATCCGTAATGAGGATTCGATAACGATTCCTACCTGTAAGCGCGTTCATTCAATGTAGACATTATCAGTAAAAAAAAATTAAAGAATTTTACACTTACTAATAATTATTATTCTGCAACGACTTATCGAAATAACAAGTTTTTTGCTCGAATCGTTAATGTTCGAAGACAAATTCCATTAATTCAAGAGCGCTCTATATAAACTAATTTAGTTTTGAATATCTCATAGTGATATGAGAGTCGATTTTTGAACATACGACTATATTCAATGTTTTCACACACAGATTTACAATGTTCTAATGTGTGTCACAATGTTTTAAACACAGATGGGACATTTTTTTTATTGCGTAGGTTGGTGGACGAGCTCACGGCCCACCTGGTGTTAAGTGGTTACTGGAGCTCATAGACATCTATCTACAAAGTAAATGTGCCACCCATCTTGGGATATAAGTTATAAGATCTCAGTATAGTTACAACGGCTGCCCTACCCTTCAGACCGAAAGGCATTACTGGTTCATGGCAGAAATAGACAGGGCGATGGTACCTACCCGCGCGAACTCACAAGAGGTCCTACAACCAGTAAAAAAATGACATAAAACTTGATGTATTCTTCCAGAGGCGCGTCATATACGGACCGGTCACCTTTACCGCAGAATTTGATCAAGAACCCGTGCTCCCAAGCGTGCAGCTGCCGCATCTCCGACGGTGAGCCGCAGTTCGATTGCGCCGCAGTCGACTGCGTGGAGTCCTTCGACTCCGACCTCCAGGAGTGCGTCAAAACGTACGAATTGGACTCATGTTGCAGCACAGCAAATGTCTGCGGTAAGCGTTTTACTTAACATCTAAACATAATATTGAATTGTATTTTTTTTTTATTGCTTAGATGGGTGGACGAGCTCACAGCCCACCTGTTGTTAAGTGGTTACAGGAGCCCATAGACATCCACAACGTAAATGCGCCACCCACCTTGAGATATAAGTTCTAAGGTCTCAAGTAAGTTACAACTGCTGCCCCACCCTTCAAACCGATACGCATTATTACTTCACGGGAGAAATAGGCAGGGTAGTTGTACCCACCCGCGCGGACTCACAAGAGGTCCTACCACCAGTAATTACGCAAATTATAATTTTGCGGGTTTCATTTTTATTACATGATGTTATTCCTTCACCGTGGAAATCAATCGTGAACATTTGTTGAGTACGTATTTCATTAGAAAAATTGGTACCCGCCTGAGATTCGAACACCGGTGCATCGCTCAACACGAATGCACCGGACGTCTTATCTGTTAGGCCACGACGACTTCACATAAATGTACTATAACTACTACTTCTTAGTGCCTAGCTTCCATTTCACCGTTTCTTATTAATATTATCAACATTTTAACTGTATATAAATTAGTGCAATTGACTTATTTATTTATGAGTGCTAATTTCCCGCTAATGTGGTAGTAAATAACAATTGCAACAATGGCTGAGGCCATTGTTTATTGAAGTGAAACTTCTAAAGCGACTTCCAACAAGTTTGCGTTAAACGTTTAACGCTACCATGGAATAGAAAGAGACAGAGCGAGAGTGAATGTGTGGCACTCGAGCGCATGCGCGTAGTGTACCTGTTATAGGACTTACAGGCCAGCACAAACGTTAGCAACAAGTAGCGTCCAATAATTTAATGAAGTATTTTAAAAACATATATTTTTATTTTTCAATCTATAATTTAAAAAAATGTATTATATAAATGTTGAAGATATCGCATCTCTTATACACAGCATTCCCTATTACAAGAGCAAACTGATTTAAGGATTAAAATTGAAAATGAATAAAGCCACAATACTACACATCGAAAAAGAAGTTTCACTTCATACACATGCATCAAGTTGGACGCGCGCACCGTTTTTTTTTCTTCAGATTTCTTGTAATAAATGAAGGTATTCTATGCGCAAATCGTGTGTTTCAGGCAAGGACGCAATCGCAGCGTTAAAAACCTGCCAAGTGGACGGCAAAACGTACAGGGAGGGGGAGATTTTCGAGCCCCAGAACACAAGGAAGACCTGCATCTGTACATCCGACTGGAGTGGCTCCGCGGACAACTCAGCTTATTGCAGAGACATCGATTGCGGCTTAGAAATACATTACCAGGACAAAATATTTGATAACTGCGCTCCGATATTCGCCGGGAACGGACGTAGTTGTCCAATTGGATTTGAATGTCGTAAGTTTGTTATTTTCGTCCTCTGATGTGTCTAGCCCTTAATACGTTGCCACGAAATACGGTTTTTTTTTTTTCATATTGCTTAAATGGGTGGACGAGCTCACAGCCCACCTGGTGTTAAGTGGTTACTGGAGCCCATATACATCTACAACGTAAATGCGCCACCAACCTTGAGATATAAGTTCTAAGGTCTCAGTATAGTTACAACGACTGCCCCACCCTTCAAACCGATCATGTGTCGATGTCGTCTTCATGATGTTGTGCCATGTCTACTGGTGGTAGGATCTCTTGTGAGTCCACACGGGTAGGTACCACCACCCCGCCTATTTCTGCCGTGAAGCAGCGTTTCGGTTTGAAGGGTGGGGGAGCCGTTTTACATATTGAGACCTTAGAACTCATATGTCATGGTGGGTGGCGGCATTTACGTTATAGATATCTATGGACTCCGGTAACCAATTTGCACCAGGTGGCCTGTGAGTTCGTCCACCCAAAATACTATAAAAATAAAAAAAAACCGTGACAAAAAAATGTTTGTGTCAAATATCATAATTATTATACACCTCCAAAAATTCCTCTTTCCAGCATCGACAACCACGAAAGTAATGAGAGGACTGAATCTGCGCAGCGTGAGTGCCCAGTGCGTCTTCGGCAACCAGACGCTGTCAGTCGGCGATGAGATAACTGTCGGCGAGCAATGTACAACATGTATCTGTGAAGTACCGCCTTTTGTATCGTGCTTAAGGCAGAACGCTTGCTAGGCGAGTACACTGCTCGCTAAGAATCAACCTTTCTAATTAAAACCTTCTAATAAACATAATCCACAAATGAACACAGCAGATATTTAATTTCAATATTTAAAAGAGTCGTTGGGCCGAATCCCTGGCTTTTCGTAATGCTGATCTAAATAGGGGTAGGGGATAGGGGGCAGGAGCTAGTGCTCCTTAGTAGGGGATCCGTAACCTAATGTTCCATATTCCATAACAGTCTACTCGGCAATTTTACCCCTCTGAGATAACAATGTGTAACTGCTATTTCTGACGCGAAACAGTCACGTTAAAAAGATCTGGAAACATATAATACAATACTATTATGATTTCGACTTCAAATTGATGGCATCATGGTGCCTATGGGCTTATGTATACACCTAACAGGCGGTCCGTGATACTAACAAACCATACACTGTAAAAAAAAAACAAATTTCAATAATACATGGGGCTTAATTAAAATATCAATTACTTTTATTTTACCATTGTCTTGTTACTTTACCGTAAGCGTAAATACGTAATTTATCTTAAAATTACACAAAAAAGAAAGACATTTTAAAATTATCATTGTGAGAGTATGTATTTAATTTTGTCTTATAATAATAAGTATAATTTCACAGTTATATAATATAATTAACATTCAATGTTTTTTACAAATATCATTAAGGATAAATTTACATTCTGTACACTGTACACAGCCTTAAAATAGGACCTTTGTAATTATAAATAAAATTAAGGATATGTTGTGACGACTTTTCTAAAACTAGGAACACAAAATTCAATTTAAGGTACAACTAACTAATAAGCATAATATGTAATTCTTACGATTAATTTTAATTTTGAGATAAATCTATAATTAAAAAAAAACTGACTCACATCTCCAACGAGACCACGAGTGAGTATAAAATGAGTCTTTAAATCCTATTCTATAATAATATAATATAATGAGAAGAACTTATCCTAATAATATACGACTTAATGCTATTTAAGTATAATAAATTGTTTTAACTAAATGCATTTCTTTGGGCAAGTTTTATTTAAATCTATCTTATTTGTTGTAAATGGTCATAAGTACATAATAATCACCTATATATTTATCTAATAAAAGCATAGTAGCATTTGGCAGTGAATAACATTTAGAAAATTATAATGAAAAGGTACATAATATATTCTAAATGCAAATTCGAAAAAAAATGTTTTAGAAAAAAAAATTGATTTTCCAATTACATAAAGCATGCAAGTCCCAACTCTACTCGGAAGGTCTGGTTTGGTTTGCCGACGTCTCGGATGGCGACGTCCAAGAGTGGAAGACGGCCAGGCTTGTCAGTAGAATATTCCACGATGGTTTTCGCCCATGAACTTTTCTTGTACTGCGAGAGAGAGAGAGAGATAAATAATTTGAACATCAAGTCGCAAGGCACTCGGAAATAATTTAGAAATTGACAATTACAATGGACGTAATGCTTATCAAATAAAAATTAATTACTTATAGTACTATTTTAGAGGTAGTTTTTTAACTACTACAACTTAATCTCGCTTATTTATTAATTTCTCAGAGAAGAGTCGTCCTTTACCACGGAAACTGTAAAGTTTTCAAAATTTCTTTGGTTGTAATTTGTTTTGTGCATCAATAAAAAGAAAAAAAAAAAAATATGGTAAATAATAACACGAAAATAATTCTAGTGAGAATAAAAGGTACAATTAGTTATAGTAACCGGCAAACATCTTGAGCAAATGACCTTGACTGCGCAGAACCGAATTTTAGATCACTTTGGTGGTGAGGGTGAGGCGCGACGGCAGGGGAAATCGTATCGAGCGCGTTATTGGTAGATCAGTCGAACCTTGCGTCCCGCACCGCGCCCTCGTTCCGCTTGCTCCCAAAAGTACGCTTGCGTACAGTGAAAAGNGTATGAAGTATAGTAACCGGCAAACATCTTGAGCAAATGACCTTGACTGCGCAGAACCGAATTTTAGATCACTTTGGTGGTGAGGGTGAGGCGCGACGGCAGGGGAAATCGTATCGAGCGCGTTATTGGTAGATCAGTCGAACCTTGCGTCCCGCACCGCGCCCTCGTTCCGCTTGCTCCCAAAAGTACGCTTGCGTACAGTGAAAAGTCTATCGTTATTAATCGTAAAGTTATTTGTTATAATTGCTTGTTGACTTTGTTGCCATTGCTATTTGTTGAGTGTTTGTTGATTTTTTATAAAAAATACACTATGCCGCGACAAACTGGTGTAGTATTCAAAAGAAAGGGTAGAAATTTGTGTACGACGTATATTGCTTCATTATAAAACGGGAAGAATGATATGGAAAAAGTAAAACAGACTTCGGAAGCAACAAAAACATCAGTGAGTACTGTTAGGTGCATTATTAACGAAGCTAAAGGCTCTGGCTTGCTCGCCGTGTTTGGGACTCAGGGTAAGAAAAAATCAGGGAAGAAGAAAGTTACCGGAATGGATAGTTTCGTTCAATCTGTAATAAAAATATGTAATCATAATAACTACATAACAAGCAGTGAAACTCCGTACTGTAGAAAGGCTTCGAAAAATTTAAAGAAGATACATTTTAATGGCTCGGAATGAAGTTTACGACGAATTATGAAAGAGCTAGGCTTCAGATGGAAAAAAAAAACAGAATATAATCGGAAGGTGGTAATTGAAAAAAGTAACATTCGATTACTACGAATCGAATATCTTCAAAAAATAATTAAAAAGAAGATCGAACCGACCGAGTTGTAAACTACACCGATGAGCCCTATGTCGACTCATCACGATGATGGCGACTCGGGTGATGAAAACAGTGATGATGATGATGGTCAAGATTATGATAACGAAAAAAAAAATACAAATACCAGCTTCGCTTCAACTGAACGAAGACCTGGCAACAGCTCTAGTTTTGACTTAATAGAAGGAATATCTATTTTACCCCAAGATTAAATTATTACAATTATTAACCTATATTTTTTGTAGATGTTCTAATAAATATATAAATAAATACATATGTTGATTTTAATAATTTAATTGCATTATGACGCAGAGTAAATAATGTTTTTGCACGTGAGTGTACCATGCGCAAACTTACCCCCACTACGTCAACAAATGCTCAAGAAGTTTGCCGGCTATTATACTGTTTAGTCGGAAACATATAAAAATTGCAAAGTACTTAAAAATTACTTTTTATTTATTTATTTAGCTAAGCATAGAATCTTGTTGATTAAATTTTAATTTTTAATTTTTACTGGTGGGTAGGACCTCTTGTGAGTCCGCACGGGTAGGTACCACCAGCCTGCCTATTTTTGCCGTGAGCTCCACTTCTAACGCCAATAATTGTTTCGCCACAGAAATAGGTAGACCGTGACAAATCTCCTATACTTACTTGTTACTGGTGGTAGGACCTCTTGTGAGTCCGCACGGGTAGGTACCACCACCCTGCCTATTTCTGCCGTGAAGCAGTAATGCGTTTCGGTTTGAAGGGTGGGGCAGCCGTTGTAACTATAATTGAGACCCTTAGAACTTATATCTCAAGATGGGTGGCGCATTTACGTTGTAGATGTCTATGGGCTCCAGTAACCACTTAACACCAGNGTCAACAAATGCTCAAGAAGTTTGCCGGCTATTATACTGTTTAGTCGGAAACATATAAAAATTGCAAAGTACTTAAAAATTACTTTTTATTTATTTATTTAGCTAAGCATAGAATCTTGTTGATTAAATTTTAATTTTTAATTTTTACTGGTGGGTAGGACCTCTTGTGAGTCCGCACGGGTAGGTACCACCAGCCTGCCTATTTTTGCCGTGAGCTCCACTTCTAACGCCAATAATTGTTTCGCCACAGAAATAGGTAGACCGTGACAAATCTCCTATACTTACTTGTTACTGGTGGTAGGACCTCTTGTGAGTCCGCACGGGTAGGTACCACCACCCTGCCTATTTCTGCCGTGAAGCAGTAATGCGTTTCGGTTTGAAGGGTGGGGCAGCCGTTGTAACTATAATTGAGACCCTTAGAACTTATATCTCAAGATGGGTGGCGCATTTACGTTGTAGATGTCTATGGGCTCCAGTAACCACTTAACACCAGATGGGCTGTGAGCTCGTCCACTCATCTAAGCAATAAAAAAAAAATTAAAAAAATATGTATCACGGATTGAAGTAATCCAACTCACCTGGCACTCATCTAGTAGGGCAGTATACCTCAACCTGTTATTAGCTTTAGGAAGGATCTCGGCATCGTTGTACGCGAGCAATTTGATTCCCCGTTTGTAATTTTTCGTCGAGGGATCGAAGTAGCCGACGGTGTTCCGACAATGGAGGGTGACGTTCTGAACTGCTTTCAGTGAAAGGAGCTGAAGATATGTCAGCTGAGTGTGATCCGCCTTGTAGTTGATCTATACGTAAGGTTGGCTAGTATTAATTCGGAGCTTATCTAAAATGTTCCAAAAGCGACTTAACTATATAGCACAATGAGGACGTTGATGCTTCAAGCATAAACTGCACGATTCTTAATTTGATATTTTCTTAGTTTTAATTTTTTATTGCCCTTGTAGGTAGACGAGCATACGGTCCACCTGATGGTGAGTGGTTACCGTCGCCCATGGACTTCAGCAATGCCAGGGGCAGAGCCAAGCCGCTACCTACCGGCTACCTATACGGGCTGCCTACCGGCCTACCTATATTTTCATTTCAATGCAATTATTGTAATCATTAAATAATTAATATCTAAATGATTTACTTGATTATTTTAATGCTAATTTTTTGTATTATTATTATATATAATAGTATTATAATAATCTTCTTCAAAAAGAATAGAAGATATTAGATTAGTATTAGTAGTAGAGATTAGTATTAGATAATAATATTAGTATTATAAGACTATTATAGTATTTAAAAAAAAGTACTTTTTGCACCATTATTTGGGTGGACATTAAATGTAATACCTACTTTGATACCCTGACGCGCTTAGGTAGTCGCTTAGTCACGTTATTAGAATTTCGAGAGCAAACTGCCTATGTCTAGTACAAAAAAAAGGTGAAATTCATTTACCGTAAACCCTTCTTCCATCTCACTAAGCCATGGCTCTTTCTCTTCTCCTTTGTACGAAATATCTTGGGTCTGCATAGGCTTGGGATATACGCAGCTGGCTCCAGTCGACATGTCACAGTGGACCATAATGGCATCATTCATGTCACCACCATTAGGATCGATCCAGTATTGACCTGATTGTAGAATAAACGGATCCAAGGATAAATTCATGTTCAGCTAACTCGTGTGCGCGAGATCGGCCTATTTGTTACATTGCTGTAGGTGAAGTGAATAAACTGGTGGTAGGATCTCTTGTGAGTTCGCAGGGGTAGGTACCACCACCCTGCTTATTTCTGCCGTGAACCAGTAATGCGTTTCGGTTT